AATTTATTCACTAAACTAAAGTGAACTAGCAAACCAATCCCAAAGTCTAGGTGGAAAATCTTAAAAGGAACGCTATAGTCTCAGGAATAAAAATGTGCACTCCTAGCGCTATCGATCCCTGGTGGCTCGGCCTGACAGGAAGCAGCACACTGAGAGCTGCGAGCACTTCCTGTCAGACCAGGTTGACGATAAAGAAGTTCCTCTACCGTGATCCACGAGAAAGTGACTGGCGGCAGCAGAGGGGGCTCTGTGCACCGCCTCCTGCCAGTCATCCAGACACAGTGCCCCCAAGGCTGGTGCACTCTAATGCTGCCTTATAGCAGCCGCCTGAGCCCTGCTCACATGCAAAGGCAAATCCAATGGAAATTTAGTTATTTAGACCAAAAGAGCACATTTCATTCTGTATGATCTGGTGTCTGTCCTATGTGACAGATTGCCTGGTCCGAGTCCAACTATCCTCACAGACTTTTATGACACTTTTGGGGATGGAATGGAACACCGGGTGCTCGACCTGGAAGTGACCAGAAGCACCATGGAACGATACACCGGGTCGGAAATTGCCACAATCCAGTATAACTTCAAATGGATATCACATGGCCACAGGAAAACCAACCTGAGAGCTATTTGGACTGGTGGTGATGAGGCGACCAGCGACTTGAAGGAACTCCCTTCACCATTAATGGAGACCAGGACTTAGTAACAAACCGCCTGGAACTCTGCGTTGGATCAGAGGATAGTCACAGCCCAGCTAAATCATAACTCGTGATTACTTGGGCTAGACACCTCCAATCTCAGCACTTTTGGCACAGCTTGCCACCTACACCAGAACTCTCCAGGGATGTAAAACACTTTGGGATAAATGAGGGAATACATTATTTTATGGATATTATTGTTAGGCGCCATAGTGTCTGGTACTTAACTAAATCATCCATCTAGTGACGAAGTAAGGTCCTAAACACCATGGCACCAGGGTGGACTTGTATTGTTCTGGTTGATGACCTCTGTTGGGAATGTGTGTATAAATACTTGTGAGTTTCCAATAAAAGTTGGACCTGTTTTACCCTTCATCAAGCCTCTGTTGATGTTTGGGACAACAAAGCTATAATCACTGTAACTGCTCTGTCCAAGGGGAGAAGGGATACTAGGCGGAGATACTCAGTCTGCATACAGGAGCTTCATCACACTCTACAATCAGTCATTTTTCAATGTGTAACCTCTATTAACTAGAGGAATCTCATATTTATCAAACAAGCAGATTGATACCAGATCTCACTTAGATCCTGGCACATTCACATCACAACTTTACTTTCTTCTTGTAGACAAATCTACTAATTTCTGGATTAGTTGCCAGTTGGTAGTGGATGTAGCCGATGAGTAAATAGTTAAGAAAATCCACGGAGGTGTAGGGGTTATTTAATATGAGAGCTGGCCAGCTTCTCCTAACTAAACCTCACAGTAACGGCCATGTAACTACTGGGTGGACAAACTGCTCACTGTTCTACTAACCCCCTACCTAACATGCTGCAGAAGGGGGCATGTCTACTAAATGGAGAAGCAGCCAGCATCCCGTTTAGTAGGCATGTCCCACCTACTCTACGTCAGGTGAAGACTTTCTTCTCCCAGTTATTAAATGGGAATTTTATTAAGTTCCATATATTTTTTTTGTTTGTTTGTTTTTTACGGCTAGCAGGAGCTGGCCAGCTGTCATATTTGTTAACCCTTGCATAGTCAAGGTTTTGTTTTTTTAACTGTTTGGCCACTGGCAGCATCTGTATCCAGATTTCAGATGTCTCCTTGTATCCAGTGGACATTCACGTCCATTCAGATGCTGAATACAAAAATCCAGATATTGATTAAAGGACCACTATAGTGCCAGGAAAACATACTCGTTTTCCTGGCACTATAGTGCCCTGAGGGTGCCCCCACCCTCAGGGTCCCCCTCCCGCCGGGCTGGGTGGAGAGGAAGGGGTTAAACTTACCTCTTTTTCCAGCGCCGGGTGGGGAGCTCTCCTCCTCCTCTCCTCCCTCTTCTCCTCTTCTTCGGCTGAATGCGCATGCGCGGCAGGAGCTGATCGCGCATTCAGCCAGTCCATAGGAAAGCATTCACAATGCTTTCCTATGGACGCTGGCATCTTCTCACTGTGATTTTCACAGTGAGAAGCACGCAAGCACCTCTAGCGGCTGTCAAGAGACAGCCACTGGAGGATGGATTAACCCTAACATAAACATAGCAGTTTCTCTGAAACTGCTATGTTTATAAAAAAAAGGGTTAACCCTAGCTGGACCTGGCACCCAGACCACTTCATTAAGCTGAAGTGGTCTGGGTGCCTATAGTGGTCCTTTAATAGTGTGCACAATGCCTGTATTTTGACGCCCAGATCGTACCAAGTTGCTTTTGCTAATCCAAACCAGGGACATCCAGACACCTGGACTTTAGTGAATAATCCTGTTTATATTCACCTGTAATATTTGTAGATCTATCCATGAAGACTGATGTCAGAGCCAGTGTTTACCCAGGGTGTTATTTGGGAAAGGCCTGGCCTTGTATCCTGCGCATGCTTTGTACAGCGTGTATATGATGACAGACAGTGTGTGTAATGGATGTATTCTGCTTGTTGGAGTAAGAGACACTGTGTATGTCTCTTTAAAGTATTTTGAAACAGATTTTTTTTCTGCACTCAATAAAACAATTGCAAATGGCCAGGAGGTGTCAGAAGGACGTGAAAGGTTTAATGTCAAACAAAAATTCTTCTCTTTTGTATCTCTGGAGTATCCGGTTTGGGGAGTATGAAAACATATATGGAAATTATTAGGACAAATGGCCCAGCTGCTATAGAATACTCAGCAACACAAAGGATGAATTAAAGGGTTACTAGAATCATTATAATCCCGCTGTAGTGGTTATACTATGAGGAGTACCCTAAACCGATTTCCAAACAAATTAGCAATAGTTTGCTCCCTTACCTGGGTTCTAGTCAGGCTGTGGTGGGCCAGTGACGTGCGTTTAGCTTCTACAGAGCCACAGAAGCTGGAAGCCGTGGCCATCCCTATTCATTGGCTGAGAACGACAGCTAACCTTCCTCAGCCAATTAATGCAATTCTATCCAATGAACGTTGCACAGAATCGTAATAAGCCAGCCCAGAACTCTAATTCTGGACTGGCTGATGACACCTCAATGTCGCCACTGGAGGTGGAGTTACACCTCTGACATCAGAGCAGTTAATCTCCATATGCGCAGTGTTTCAAAGCAAAACACTGCATTTAGAGACTCCAGGCACCATGACCACTTCAAATCACTGTGCTTGGAGTAACCCTTTCAGAATAAGATAGTACTGGTTCTCCTGCTGCTGTGGATTCCAACTACCAACATGCTCAGCCACTCACGTGTCGATTATGACACTTGTCTGGCTATTTCTGGAAAAAGAATGTGCAGCGGGAGGAATGTTGTGCATTTGACACTTTGCACTAAATAAACTGGTTCCATTGTACTCTCCCGCAGGGGCACATGTAGCTGTGGCTGCCTTCTAAGAAATGTTCTAAATTAACAGAATTATTCACTTTCACAGGCTTATTCACCAAAGCCACAATTTCAAAAATTCTAAGCGAATTTCTAATTTATTTTTTTAAATATATTCTTTATTTTTGCAGAGCAGAGTTAAACATACAGGCTTGCAATAACATTGTACATAACATGTCGAAAAAGGCTGCACTTTATTTTTTTTTTTTATAAAATGGAATAAAGTAAATGTACAGGCAATATAACCACAAAATTGATCATAGTGACAAAGAGTATGAGTGAGACAAGGAAATTCATTTCAAATTTACGGACAATGGTAACTGGGAAAAAAATCTCCAAGTCATCTATATTTCCAGTTAGGGTTAGAATGTACATCCATTGAATGTAACCCAGAGAGAGGTGTGGACCACGAGGGCCTTGCCCCATCACATGGGAGACTCTTCTTCCTGTGGTTCCTTTGTCTGCTACGTGTATTACAGGTTATTTAGACAATACCCTGATAATACTACCCTTTAATGTTTGTTGTTTTTTGGCAATGATTTATTTGCACTGATTGCAATGTTTTGTATTGTGTTACGTTTTGCAGTAGACATCTTCTTTTCAAAGATATTTTATTAAAGAGATATTTTTACAATAACAACTTTTACAATGAAAAAGAAAATACCATATATTTTATCCATAAAAAAGAGTAAATATCAATGTATCCAGTCCATATGGAAATCAATGATAAAAGTATTGAACAGGCACTTTATAGTCAATTTTCACTGTGATAACAATTGGTATGAACAAACTATGCTATTAAATTGCAATGTTAACAAGTAAAATAAAAAAACAAACAAAATAAAAATAAAAAAATACAAAATTAGATACTACTCTTCCTTTTTTAATTTAAATTTTTTTTTTTATCTGCTGCGCAGGATAAATCTGTTGATCGCATGCTGTTTTTGAAAACTTTTCTAAATAAAGATTGGGAAAAAAAAAAACAAGAAAAAAAAACACAACACTAGCAGACATATAATTAAATGTGTCCTCACATGCATTTTCAGCTGCTCTTCAGCTGGTACAAATTAATCAAATACCTATTACTCTACGCCCAAACTAATCAATTCGCCTGGGATTTACTTGTGGAGTCTTATTCAATGATTGACAGGGTTATTTATTAAACTGAGAATTTAAAGTGAATTTCAGCTTAAAGGCCAAAATATCCAAACTAGAAGCACAGCTGACTTATAAAAATGTTCCAGTTCGGCAACTTTTATCTTGAATTTGAAACTCACTTTGAATTCTCACCTTAGTGAATAACCTTGTCAGACTACACAGACTAAATCCCGGCCCATTGATTTGCTCTGGCTTAGATTAAGAGAATTTTGATTAGTTCATATCAGCTAAAAAGCATTATGGACAATGCTTTTCACCTGCGACTGATGTATCAAATTCCTGTTCATCTTGGTCCGAACGAATCGATCGATCTGAGATTTACCTGGCAGATCGATTCGTTCGGGCCAAGATGAACAAGAGATTGATTCGTTTGTCGCAGATGAAAAATGATTTTTTGCGCAAGTCTAGTGCTCACACAATGCCAAACGACCCAGCGCACCACATCACAGATGACCTGGCACTCAAAAACAGGTGAGTAACACTCAGACCCTTTAATCCAAGCCATTGTGGCTTGACAAAGTCCTATTTGAGGAGTTGAAACGTTGCCCCTCTGTAATTTGGATTAAAGCACCTCCATGTCGTATTTCGGAGTGACCTGTCCTTCCTTTTGGCAGCGTTGGGTGGGATCTGAGAGCCATGCCCTCTCAGGGTTGCCCATGAAGTGCTCTTGTATGGGATACCCTGAGTTTATTTATTTTTTTTGTACAGCAGCAAACTGCACCATATTCTCTCCAGAAGCAGGACACCAGAGAACAAACCTGGGGTGGCGTTACCGGAGAACCAGTACAGTCCATTAACTCTGCAATATTTTAAGAATGTTAATTTAAATCCCCTTTAAAGAGGAATTGTCTATTTATTTTTTCTGAAAGTGTTAATTTTCCACCTTCTGATGAAAGCTAGTGCAGCAGAGGTAAGTATGTATCACAAAGGTTAAAGCCATCTACTCCGCTCTGCCTTGCTATGATCAGTCAGACTGGCATTTAATGCAAATTATAAATAACCTATTAATGGCGCAGTCCATGGGTGATGTTTAGATAGTTATGGGGTTCTGGGTAAAGATTCTGGATTAGGCTGCATTCCCATCATGCTTAGCCGGCTAAATTCTGCTCTGGCTCCCTGCTCTCCATCAAACTGGGGAATATTAATAGTGAATTGGGGAGAAATTAAACAGCCACAAAACTAGACATATTGGTAAAATGTGAACTCTTACATTGTTTTTTTTAATTTTTTTTATTTATTGTTTAAAGGTATTTTTTTTTTAGAAGTGTTACAGCCCATGTTTTGCAGTTTGATTTTTAATTAAGCTGAATTCAACGTTTAGTAAACATGTCCCATTGTGCTAGGTCACTTTAATTAAAAACGGGCGTGGTTACAGAAGGTCCCTCCCCTGCGAGGGCGTGGTCTCACGCATACCTGTGTACTCCACGTGTCAGTGGGCGTGGCTTGCCAAATTTCGTTTCTGACGGGCTGGGTTAGGCACGGTGTAGCTCCTCCCAGTACAGGTGTCAGTGGGCGTGGCCGGACGGTCTGCTATTCGGTGGAGCAGCAACATGAACGAACAGCTAGAACCAGAGGACAGGTAATACATGGAATGAGGGGGAGACCACCTGTGTGCAGGCAGGTAATAATACATGGAATGAGGGGGAGACCACCTGTGTGCAGGCAGGTAATAATACATGGAATGAGGGGGAGACCACCTGTGTGCAGGCAGGTAATAATACATGGAATGAGGGGGAGACCACCTGTGTGCAGGCAGGTAATAATACATGGAATGAGGGGGAGACCACCTGTGTGCAGGCAGGTAATAATACATGGAATGAGGGGGAAGACCACCTGTGTGCAGCCAGGTAATAATACATGGAGTGAGGGGGAGACCGCCTGTGTGCAGGCAGGTAATAATACATGGAATGAGGGGAGACCGCCTGTGTGCAGGCAGGTAATAATACATGGAATGAGGGGGGAGAACTCGTGCAGGCAGGCACACATGGAATGAGGGGAGACCCACCTGTGTGCAGGCAGGTAATAATACATGGAATGAGGGGGAGACCACCCGTGTGCAGGCAGGTACACACATGGAATGAGGGGAGACCACCTGTGTGCAGGCAGGCACACACATGGAATGAGGGGGAGTTCACCTGTGTGCAGGCAGGTACAATACATGGAATGAGGGGACCACCTGTGTGCAGGTAAGCAGGTAATAATACATGGAATGAGGGGAGACCACCCAGTGCAGGTAATAATACATGGAATGAGGGGGAAGACCACCCAAAAGCAAGCTGTGGCAATAATACATGGAGTGAGGGGGGAGACCGCCTGTGTGCAGGCAGGTAATAATACATGGAATGAGGGGGGAGACCCCCTGTGTGCAGGCAGGTAATAATACATGGAATGAGGGGGGAGACCACCTGTGTGCAGGCAGGTAATAATACATGGAATGAGGGGGAGACCACCTGTGTGCAGGCAGGTAATAATACATGGAATGAGGGGGAGACCACCTGTGTGCAGGCAGGTAATAATACATGGAATGAGGGGGAGACCACCTGTGTGCAGGCAGGTAATAATACATGGAATGAGGGGGAAGACCACCTGTGTGCAGCCAGGTAATAATACATGGAGTGAGGGGGAGACCGCCTGTGTGCAGGCAGGTAATAATACAGGGAATAATACATGGAATGAGGGGGAGACCACCCAGTGTGCAGGCAGGCACAATACATGGAATGAGGGGGAGACCACCTGTGTGCAGGCAGGTAATAATACATGGAATGAGGGGGGAGACCACCTGTGTGCAGGCAGGTAATAATACATGGTATGAGGGGGGAGACCACCTGTGTGCAGGCAGGTAATAATACATGGAGTGAGGGGGAGACCACCTGTGTGCAGGCAGGTAATAATACATGGAGTGAGGGGGAGACCACCTGTGTGCAGGCAGGTAATAATACATGGAGTGAGGGGGAGACCACCTGTGTGCAGGCAGGTAATAATACATGGAGTGAGGGGGAGAGCGCCTGTGTGCAGGCAGGTAATAATACATGGAGTGAGGGGGAGAGCGCCTGTGTGCAGGCAGGTAATAATACATGGAGTGAGGGGGAGAGCGCCTGTGTGCAGGCAGGTAATAATACATGGTATGAGGGGGGAGACCACCTGTGTGCAGGCAGGTAATAATACATGGAGTGAGGGGGAGACCAACTGTGTGCAGGCAGGTAATAATACATGGAGTGAGGGGCAGACCACCTGTGTGCAGGCAGGTAATAATACATGGAGTGAGGGGGCAGACCACCTGTGTGCAGGCAGGTAATAATACATGGAGTGAGGGGGCAGACCACCTGTGTGCAGGTAGGTAATAATACATGGAGAGAGTTGGGGGAACAACCTGTGTGCAGGCAGGAGGGAGTTCTGGGTATCTAACCTAAAGGGAGAGGTAATGCATGGAATAAGAGGGGAAGCCACCTGTCTGCAAGTAGAGCAGGGGGTACTGATGACCGACAATGCATTACATGGAGGAGCAAGCAGCTGTGAGTAGGGAATGGAAGGAGTACAGGGTATCTAATCTTTTATAGGAAGCCCTTACTGTAATCCCAAAACGCCTCAATATCCTGGTGTTAATGGTAACACATCCTTATACATTGTCTTTATTGGGGCCCCTGGGGACCAAATACTTTATCAAATGGCATATAAGCAGAGCACCATTGACTATATTGAAGCTAGTAACCCGGCTCCTGAGTGCTTTATTACCCTGTAACATCTTATTACAGTAACCTGGCTCCTGAGAGCCTTATTACCCTGTAACATCTTATTACAGTAACCCGGCTCCTGAGTGCCTTATTACCCTGTAACATCTTATTACAGTAACCCTGTTCCTGAGTGCCTTATTACCCTGTAACATCTTATTACAGTAACCCGGCTCCTGAGTGCCTTATTACCCTGTAACATCTTATTACAGTAACCGGCTCCTGAGCCTCTTATTAGCCTACCAAAACTCTTTATTATAATGTATTCATTTGTTCCAATACATTCACATTATAATCCACCTTTAGTAAATACATTACTCCAAAGTACAAGGAGACGCCCACCTTACCTCTTCTCAGTGATAAAGTGGCTGGTTAATTCACTAAATGTACACACCCTTGTTCTTGAGTAATTAGAGTTTACAAAAGGCAATTAAGGCACTTAGGAACAGAGTTACTATAATAAGATGTTACGGGGTAATAAGGCACTCAGGAGCCGGGTTACTGTAATAAGATGTTACAGAGTAATTACTGTAGATGTTACAGAGTAATAAGGCACTCAGGAGCCGGGTTACTGTAATAAGACGTTACAGGGTAATAAGGCATGAGGAGCCAGGTTACTGTAATAAGATGTTACAGGGTAATAAGGCACTCAGGAGCCGGGTTACTGTAATAAGATGTTACAGGGTAATAAGGCACTCAGGAGCCGGGTTACTGTAATAAGATGTTACAGGGTAATAAGGCACTCAGGAGCCGGTTACTGTAATAAGATGTTACAGGGTAATAAGGCACTCAGGAGCTGGGTTACTGTAATAAGATGTTACAGGGTAATAAGGCACTCAGGAGCCGGGTTACTGTAATATGATGTTACAGGGTAATAAGGCGCTCAGGAGCCGGGTTACTGTAATATGATGTTACAGGGTAATAAGGCACTCAGGAGCCGGGTTACTGTAATATGATGTTACAGGGTAATAAGGCACTCAGGAGCCGGGTTACTGTAATATGATGTTACAGGGTAATAAGGCACTCAGGAGCCGGGTTACTGTAATAAGATGTTACAGGGGGTAATAAGGCACTCAGGAGCCGGGTTACTGTAATAAGATGTTACAGGGTAATAAGGCACTCAGGAGCCGGGTTACTGTAATATGATGTTACAGGGTAATAAGGCACTCAGGAGCCGGGTTACTGTAATAAGATGTTACAGGGTAATAAGGCACTCAGGAGCCGGGTTACTGTAATAAGATGTTACAGGGGGTAATAAGGCACTCAGGAGCCGGGTTACTGTAATAAGATGTTACGGGGTAATAAGGCACTCAGCAGCCGGGTTACTGTAATAAGATGTTACAGGGTAATAAGGCACTCAGGAGCAGGGTTACTGTAATAAGATGTTACAGGGTAAGAAGGCACTCAGGAGCCGGGTTACTGTAATAAGATGTTACAGGGTAATAAGGCACTCAGGAGCCGGGTTACTGTAATAAGATGTTATGGGGTAATAAGGCACTCAGGAGCCGGGTTACTGTAATAAGATGTTACAGGGTAATAAGGCACTCAGGAGCCGGGTTACTGTAATAAGATGTTACAGGGTAATAAGGCAGTTGTGATTTGGACAATTGCTAAAAAAATATTTAAATTATTAATACCTCTTACTTTTCTCTTTTCTACTTTTCACTAAACATTTGTAGGATTGCCTTGGGGTGCTTAGCATTTTTATTAGTTTATTTTCTGTCTTTGCAGGTCTCCTGTGAATTTGTCAATGGATCTCAAGGAATGTATGGAAGCTCTAAGTCTGTTTCTTAATAACCAGTTTAACGAGAGCCTTGATCTTTTGCGGCCAAGGTGAGAATGAAATCTTAACTTTTTTTTTTTTTTTCACAGAACAAGTTTTATTTAATTTGAATTTTAAAACCTAGGCAAAAGTAGCTGGTTTGGAAAGACACTTCAACGCTGCTAAAGTTGTAAACGGCCTTACTGTTTTACCATAAACTTTGCAATTCAAAGTTTAATTTAATAAAGTTCTGTGTATAGTTGCGAATTAGTGACTGGCAATCATGTAAGACGAGAAATATTGAACAAATTATACTATAGGGAGTCTCACCCTCCCAGCACAGGGTGACACAGACAGGAGGAAACTATGGGACATGGAGACTGTCCCTCCCAGCACAGGGTGACACAGACAGGAGGCAGTTATGGGACATGGAGTCTGTCCCTCCCATCACAGGGTGACACAGACAGTAGTGAGCTATAAACATGGAGTCTGTCCCTCCCAGCACAGGGTGACACAGACAGGAGGGAGCTATTGGACATGGAGTCTGTCCCTCCCAGCACAGGGTGACACAGACAGGAGGGAGCTATGGGACATGGAGTCTGTCCCTCTCAGCACAGGGTGACACAGACAGGAGGGAGCTATGGGACATGGAGTCTGTCCCTCCAGCACAGGGTGACACAGACAAGAAATCAGAGCCATATCACATAGCTTCCTCATATTTTTCTTCCCCCACACCTAATCTTTGCTATTGATATTTTTCTAACCCAATGATCTGTGTATTTTTTTTCTTAGAGCTGCAGACAGTATGTACCATGGCCTTGTATATGGTACGATCCAGGAAATGCAAGCAATGATGACATTTGAGCATGATGACATCATCAATGCTGGACTGACTATGAAACAGGCTCAAGAAACCTGCCAGAGGTAGAGAATGGGCCATACAACGTATCATGTCCTGATATACATTGTATGTAACATACACATAGTTACTATAGTGTTTTTTTGTTTTTTGTTTCTTCTCCCTTACAATGTTCACCCATAACGGAGTGATGGTCATTCTGTACATAATTTCATACTATGGATATGTTGTCGATTGAGTGTTTTTTCTGGTTATACTGTAGTGATATTATCCCTCTTCCATTTGGTCTCTCTATCTGTTTCGTTCTCCGAAGGCTTTCACCGCTTTTTAAGAAATATTTATTTCAGCATTGACTATCTCTTCCAAGGCAAGACTTGGAGGAATAAGGTTGGATGTTCAGTAAGCTTATCAAGCCACAATAGCCCAAACAAACACCATAATATCAAACAATAGTAAACAATTATATGGCGTTTATAGAAACTGCACAATTTTGTATTAATAATGAGCAGGAACAGGATAGTTCGACATGTCTAGGCTGGAAAACACGTATATGCTAAAACAGGCTAGCTAGACATAGGGATTGGAGCATAGTAAAATGTTGCAAGTCATATTGGTGTTTCAGGAGTAAAGAACCACTGGGGTTGGCATTACTGGCACGGTTCTGCATTGCGAAAGAACCTAACTGTATGTAAAACAAAAAAATAAAACCATTGCTCAAATTGGGGAGAAGTGGCTTAGAAATGCCATATGGTGGCAACTGGAGTTAGGGAGACTCCTACTTTGGACGAGCAATATGCCCCTGGGCGTCCAGCATCAGCTGATGCCCAAGGTCTGGAATGCTGGATGGTTGCCGCGAAGTGTAGCAAGACAGGAGTGCGGTGTAAGGCGTCTCCTGCCCCAGGCCGTGATGAAGGCCAACATCAGGACACCACGGACTTGAGTGCTCGCATCGGAGTTAAAGTCCATCCCTATAGGGGAATTGTGGAAGCTCCTGGTGTTCCGTCGCCACTTGCAGCGAAGGGTCTTCCGTCTGGGTGGTCGATGCACAGGGACTACGTCCCCAATGGCCCTCAGCCTAGGCAGGCGAGTGCTGGGAAACACATAAGATTGCTGAGATGATTTGCCTGAAGGAGGCCCTCTCACCCCTGCTCCACTGTCACCTGTTTCTTTCTCCCGACTCTGAGGTGATGCTGCCACGATGAGGGCCTCAAGTTTTGCCCAGAAGCATGCAAAGTGATTTTCCAGTCGCTCCATTATTTGTTCAGCCCCAATCGAAGTCAGCTCATGCTTATGTGGTGAGAGCGTGTCAGCCATCTTGGGGGAGTCATCTGCGGTGTGGTCTCAAACAGGATTAGTTGCCTAACATCTGCAGTGATGAGCAAAGCAACCCAGTGGGGACCGAGATTAACCTATGCCGGTCCAGAGCAGGAGGTAACAGGGCACTGTAGTTCAGAGAGTGATGCATCGTGGGGCAGTTTCTCCTGCCCACTGTGCACACTAGGCCAGGGTTAGCCAGCACCTCTGGAGACCGGATCAAATCTTCCAGGCTGGTTTTAATAGCAGGTATAACAATGCCGGTTTCAGTTGTGAGTGGCAGGTGTCGCAGGATTCCACTAAAATTGAGAGTTCTGTGAGGAGCTCCTGTTAGTTGCTACCTGCCTCCATGAGTTTCAGGCCCCGCCCCCCTAATGTTCAGCTTTTAAACCAAAGTTTGGTCCTGTGAGGAACCCAAACTTTCTCCTGCAACAAAAACCTTTTGAAGTTCCTAAGCACAGGCAAAACCAGCAGCAAGAAGCCAGACCAGCAGCCAGGAGCCAGCCATTTTGCCCTATTTTATTTTCCCAGCTGGTTGCTCTGTGTGGTAGTCTCCCAAGCTGTAGTTAGAAGTCAGTCTTGGAAGTCAGTCTGTCCTATAACCAATGTATTGATGCCAAGTCATGCTTCTTAAAGTAACCTTTTAATTATATTCTGAAATGTACTGCTGTGCATCACCTCCATAGACAAACCTTTACAGATGCCTCCCTCGGACATGGCAAGACCAGGTTCTACAAATCCTCCCAGAATTCCATGCAGAGTGTCCAAATAAGCACACAAGTACCACTTTTTCAGATTCATTTTTTTTTTTTTTCCTCAGAACCCACATGTATACAGACTCCCTTATCAATGGCACTGCTTTTTATACCAGTGTATGTTTTATGATCCAAATACACCAATGATCGACGATGAACTGCATGTTGTCACTCTGTTGGGACTCATCAGCATGGCACTTGTATGTGGTCTTCACTGCTTTGTTGGTTTTCTCTTGGCCTTCTCTGAATCTTTTATTCTTTATTTTTTTTATATTCCTCTGCTACACTTGTGTTTTGTTTTTTTGTTTTTTGTTTTCCGTATTTTTTTTTTTTCCTCTGCTACTTTTTTTCCCCCCCGTATTATTTACATTTAATGTTTAGTTATCCTTTCTCTTTCTTTCTTGCAGCATATCCTCAGGCAGTAATCTGACTTGTAAAACCAAACACTCTGAACAAATATTGTAGCTTTCTCACTGTCACCAAGCACTGCCTGACAAACAGAGCTTTAAACTCTTCCCCCTTATCCTATGTCCGTATGGGAGCCACGAGGAATCCTGAGCTTAATCTTAATCCTCTGATTGCATCACCTACATAAATACACGACATTATTCTTTAATAATTGTTCTAGTAAGAATTGTAGATTACTGTGAATTTAGTGGCTTAACTGATAAAATACGTTGTTAAATTTGATTGGCAATTGTAGCCTCTAATTTTCTTCTCCTTACAGTAAACAGACCCTATATTTGATAGGCTATAATGAACAGTCCATACATTGATCTAACAAGGTTATGAATAATTCAATAGTTTAAAAAAATAATTCAACTAGGGCCCCTGTTCAAGAAATTTAGAAGGGCCCCATTGTCAGTCTCCTCTAAGCAATACACCAGTGTGGGATGTGTGTGGTGGTGGTTGGCTAAGTGTAATTGTGCAGGGCTGAATGTGTGTTTGTGTAATATTAATAAAAACTCCAAAACACGTTTTTACCCCCCCTCTTCTACTTAACTTTTCTGCAGATAGTGGTTGTTATCCCTGGTGGTCCAGCATCATATGATCTTTGGTCTCATGGTGCTGCTGACTGCATCTCTTGCCTTCCAGTGGGGGAAATGTGTGGTCTGCACCTGCGGGGAGTGCAGACTCCATAAATGCTCTTCCATTGTGGCACTCACTAAGACCGGAAACCAGTGGCTGTGTTCAACATATACACTGCAAGCTGGAGCCCTGTGAGGTGGCGTTTAGATTGCTCCCAGTGTTAAATTGTTTGGTATACTGCTCTATTAGCATTATACTAACTAACGGTGCTGCAAGCGGGGACAAAGTCTGGCCTCTGCCCCTTCTAGATAGGCCCAACTCCACAGCCCGTTTACAGTAGTGAACATTGAAACTCTGGTAGGTCCACAGTTGCTGATATATTGTATTTTAGATCTCCTGTTTAATGTGATAAATGAAAAGATTTGAACAAAATCGCAAAATGAGAAAGCATAACTTATTCAGTGTTTGTCTGTTGAAAGGCATAGTATAGCCATAAAGTACTGGTAATTCAAAATACACTTTGCACCACATCCTTCTCAGAAAGACTTCATTTTGCAGGAATGACCATTTTTCTGAAACTCTTTAAAATCCAGTCTTTAAGCATAGGAACATGATTGTGCATACTGTGGTCTTCAGCTGCCAGACGTGAAGACCACAAACTCTAAACAGTGAAGACAAAATGTCAATCAAAAAGCAGGCAGTTGGAAACCTGCAGGTTAATTTGTGAATAACTAAAAGCTATTTTATATCAAGCTGAAGTCCTAAAACAGGGATTGGCAACCTTCGGCATTCCAGATGCTATGGACTACATCCCCCATAATGCTCCTACACTAATAATGCTGGCAAAGGACCATGGGAGGTGTAGTCCAAAACATCTGGAGTGCCGAAGGTTGCCTATACCTGTCCTAAAAGGTCTTCAGTGCATATCCCTAAATCCAATGGTAATAAAAATCTGATGTGCCTTGTAGACTACTGCTATAAAGACCTAGAAGAGAGAATTAATTACTAGTGGCAAAAGGGAAAAAATAATCTGTGAAAAGACAGGGCCAGGGAATACTGATCTTCAGAATATATTATATGTTTTTAAATTTATTTTTTATAATTTTGCCTGGGGCGGACAGACCACTTTGTTGCATGGGTGTGCAGATATCTCGACTGGTCTCTGTGCCACTGATACTTGCACCACCCAGCAAGCTGTTTATCTCGCTGGTATCCCAATCCAGCTCTGTGCATGCACCATGTTTCACCTGCGCAATAAAATAGAGCAGCGGTTCCCAAACCAGTCCTCAAAGCACCCCTACCAGCCCAGGATTTAGGGATATAGAAAATAAAAACCATCGACACAGCTGTGTAATTCCTAAATTCTGGACTGGTAGGAGACCCTTGAGGACTGGTTTTCAGATCACTGGAATAGAAGTCTTCAAAAATAGACCTGTGGAAGGAATGGGACAAGAAGTAACATTGGAGGCCAAGAGCCACAGGAAACTTGGCAAGATATGAGCTAAGAATGACAGGAGGAGAACAGAGGGAGAACTGGAGTTGCGGACACAATGGTGTCTCTGCAAGATAAATGCAGAGAATGACTCAACTGCATGAGAAGAAAGCAAAGCCAAGAGGACCTGTGGCTGGTAGGAGCAGGGCAAGATTAGTACGGGAGCAAGTCTTTTGAACCTTGGGAATTTTAAATAAATAAGATTTCTGATGAGTGTCATAGTGACTATCCAAGGTAATGATTGTGTGGTTATAATTTTTACAATCCTTAGAACTCCAGGGTACACAGGCCAACTGAGGCTGTCTGTTAACAGGCACAGAGAGAGTGCTTTAACTGTTATAATTTGTATATTCTCTTTAACAATCAAACCCACTGAAATGTTTGTTCTCCACCAGATTTAGAAAGAAAACAACCCCTTTTGGAAAAACTGGAGCTGACTCCTATACAGAAGGTGAGACTAAGGAATGTTAGTGTCCCTGTCTTTATGGTTAAACCTTTTTTCTTTTAATTTTTTTTTTTTTACATAAAAATGCTCTGTCGTGGATGTCAAACAATTGCAAACCCAACACAGATTTATAAAATAGAAAACTTTGTTAAATATATGTGTGGGACAATTATTGGCACCCCTTTAGTTAATAATTTGTGCTACGTCGCTTTGCCAAGATAACCGCTCTGAGTCGTCTTCTGTAATATCTGATTTTTTTGAAACACTAATAATTGTGTTCGGAGAAGTCTCCCGAGTATAACCGTGTACACCCCCATGTACAGATTTTATGGTAGTTTCAAAAGTTAGAGTCAAATCTAAGGCTTGATTTTCCTTTTTTTCACATTACAATTTGCCAGACTGGTTATGTTGCCTTTGAGACCGTATGGTATCCCAGGAATGAAAATTACCCCCATGATGGCATACCATTTGCAAAAGTAAACATCCCAAGGTATTACAAATAGGGTATGTCCAGTCTTTTCTAGTAGCCACTTAGTCACAAACACTGGCCAAAATTTGCATTCAATTTAGTTTTTTGCATTTTTCACACACAAACCAATATGAATGATAACTTTGGCCAGTGTTTGTGACTAAGTGGCTACTAGAAAAGACTGAACATGCCTAATTTGCAATACCTTGGGTTGTCTACTTTTGCAAATGGTATGCCATCATGGGGGTAATCTTCTTCATTCCTGGGCTACCGTTTTGGTCTGAGGCAACATAACCAGCATGGAAAATTTCAACGTGAAAAAACTGAAAAATGTAACATGCTATATTTGACCCTGTAACTTTCCAAAACACCATAGAACCTGTACATAGGGGGTACTGGTTTACCCGTGAGACATCGCTGAATACAAATGTGTATTTTATTGCAGTAACAGCTAACCGTATTATGACATTCTCTGTTAAAATGCCATGCAGAATTAAAAAAATAACAATTTCTTAATTTTTTTTTTAAATATATTTTATTCATATTAAATTAGGTTTACTATAAAAATATTTGATGTGACATGAAAAATCCCCGTTTCTTATGAACAAAATGATATATAATAAGTGTGGGTGCACATAATATGAAAGAGGTTAATTACGCCTGAACAGACATATAGCGCAAAGTCAAGGTTTTGTTTACGTTTTGTTTTGATCACAACGTGTACAATTGGCTCAGTCCTTAAGGGGTTAACAAAGATTTTTGTATTTATTTTTGATAAACTTGTGTTTGCAGTTGTATTGATGTCCATGAGAGCAGAGCATTTGTGCACAAAAAAGATCAAAAGGTTTTTGTTTTTTGTGGGGTTTTTTTAAACTGCATTCTTTGCTCATATTTACCAAAGGTGCCAATATTAGTGGAGGGCACTGTAGTAATAAAGAATGCGCTACCTTATGGTGATGAGCATCTATTCATTAAAATTAAACACGCTGCATTTTAGATCTATGCCAAGTATCTATAATACGGAGTATCTATACACTGATACCTGGTTTGTCATTGCAGTTGAATTTCATGCAGAAGTTTGCTACGCAGAGTGCCTTCTCCAGAGAGCGGCTCTGATTTTCCTGCAGGTACGGAATATATGATAATAGATAGAAACCTAGACTGTGACGGCAGATAAGAACCATTCGGCCCATCTAGTCTGCCCAATTTTCTAAAGACTATCCCACGCATGCTTAACCCCTTCCCGACCGAGGACGGTTCAGGACCGTCATCGGGATTTTCCCATTGAGGACCGATGACGGTCCTGAACCGTCCTAACGGTTTCCGTTACTTACCTGATCGCCGTCGTTCCCCCGGCGGCGATCAGCGTTGCTCCGGTTGTGGGGAGACTGCCTGCAGCCCAGACAGTCTCCCCACACTGATTTAGGACCCCTGGGGCCATGTGATCGCTTAACACAGCGATCACATGGTCACAATGGGTGTCCATAGTGCTGCCTGCAGGGGGACTGTCTGTGCTGACAGGCAGTCTCCCTGCTAGTGTAAAATCAGAAAAAAAAATAAAGTTAATGTTAATAAAAAAAATAATAATAATTATATATGTGTATATATGATATATAGACATATATTATATCTATATAATATATGTCTATATATCATATATATAATGCCATACTAAGTGTATTTTTATATTAATATGTACTTATATTAATATAAAAATACACTTATAATTAAATTACACACGTGTATATATATATATATAATATATATAATAACTATATAGATTGTGTGTATATATATATATTATTATAAAATATAAATAAGTAATTTAAATTAAATAAAAAATTTTTAAAATAATAATAAAAAAATTTAAAAAAATTATATAGCTATATGAAATTTTATTCTAACTGTATTTTAAAATTAATATATATATTTATATCAAAATACACTTAGAATGAATTTGTGTATATATATATATATATAAAAATAATACGAAATATACATATGTCCATATACAAAATTACATAAATAATTATATAAATATACACGTAGACTTCAAATATATAAATATGCATATATATTTAAATTCTATGTGCGTATTTATGTAATATTTTACATAATTCAGTAATTTTATTGATTGCAATTTGAGGGACCTGCCTGCCCACCCAGGCCGAAATTCCAGAGAATTTAATTTGCTAGCACTGTATTTTACCCTGTAACGTTCTACGACACCCTAAAACCTGTACATGGGGGGTACTGTTTTACTCGGGAGACTTCGCTGAACACAAATATTGGTGATTCAAAACAGTAAAACATATCACAGCGATGATATTGTCAGTGAAAGTTACTTTTTTTGCATTTTTCACACACAAACAGCACTTTTACTGATGATACAATTGTTGTGATACGTTTTCCAGTTTTTAAACACTAATATATGTGTTTAGCGATGTCTCCCGAGTAAAACAGTACCCGCCATGTACAGGTTTTATATCATTTTTGAAAGTTACAAGGTCAAATACATGGGTCAAATATTTTTACATTGAAAATGGCCAGGTTGGTTACGTTGCCTTTGAGAGCGTATGGTAGCCCAGGGATGAGAATTACCCCCATGATGGCATACCATTTGCAAAAGAAGACAACCCAAGGTATTGCAAATGGGGTATGTCCAGTCTTTTTTAGTAGCCACTTGGTCACAAACACTGGCCAAAATTAGCGTTCAATTTAGTTTTTTTACTTTTTTCACACACAAACAAATATGAATGCTTACATTGGCCAGTGTTTTCGACTAAGTGGCTACTAAAAAAGACTGGACATACCCCATATTGAATACCCTGGGTTGTCTACTTTAAAAAAAATATGTACATGTAGGGTGTTATTCAGAGATTTATGACAGATAATAGTGTTACAATGTCACTATTGATAAATTTTAAAAATGTATGTTTTGAAACCGCAATATCTTACTTGTACCTATAGCCCTATAACATGCAAAAAAAAGCAAAAAAGCACGTAAACACTAGGTATTTTTAAACTCAGGACAAAATTTTGAATCTATTTAGCAGTTTTTTTCATTTGCTTTTGTAGATGAGTAAAAGATTTTTCAAGTAAAAGTCAAAAAACATGTATTTTTTTCAATTTTTCATCAGATTTTTTTATTTTTTTATATTAAAATACATGAGATTATATAAATAATGGTATGTAAAGAAAGCCCCTTTTGTCCTGAAAAAAACAATATATAATTTGTATGGGAACAGTAAATGAGAGAGCGGAAAATTACAGCCAAACACAAACACCAGAAAAGTGTAAAAATATTCCTGGTCGCAAATGTACAACATCGCAAAAACAGTTCAGTCCTTAAGGGGTTAAACCCCTTTAATGTGTTAACCTCTGTAGGACCCCGCATTCCCCATGCTTTGCTGATGTGAGCACACTGATGGAATGTTGGTAGCACTCATTATAATAGCGATAGACTTGCTTCTCACGTTCCCCTTGTTTGTACTACGGGTTGTTCCTTTTAGGTTGGAACAAACATTCTTGTTCCCCTCTGTCCTTTCCTAAGGCCGTTGTTTCAAAGATATGAGGATCTGTGTCTCTAACCTTGGTGTTTATCCCTAAAACATGTATTGACCCAGGGTCCATGAATTCTCAGTTGAAAATCCAATGATTAGCGATGGTACAAGAGAATTGAAATACCCACCTCTGTATAGAAAAATACAGTGAGACGTGGGAATCTCTGCTGGCTACAAGCTGCCTACAAACTGAATACGTAGATCAGGGGTAGGCAACTTTTGGCTTTTCAGATGTTGTTCTCTACATCTCCCCTGATGCTTTGCCAGCATTATGGCTGTTAGTGCATGATGGGAGATGTAGACCACAACATCTGGAGTGCTGAAGGTTGCCTACCCCTGCAAATATCCATATAGCTATGCAACGCTAAAGCGCAAACCGGTTTAATCCAAACTGGCATATGGGAAAAGCTTGCTCCCTGATAATAGAGGGATAAATAACAAATACAAGCCGCTCTAGAAACCTTGAAGTGAAGGGGAGTAATGATATGGGATGGTAGTGAGAAGTCGGGTCAAAAGATGACTTTTCTAGGATGGGATTAACAATTGAATGTTTGAAGGAAGCAGGGAAGAAGCCAGTAGACAAGATGTTGGAAATATGCACTGTGGACTGAACCAGACTAGAGGAAATATTGGAAAAGGTGAGTGGGATGGGGACCAAAATGGCATATGATGTGGAGAGAGGACAATAGATGTTTAGAGATGAGGTGGGAGGGTAGGAGTTAACGTGAAAGAAGGTACAGAATGGAAGCATAGTATTAGAGGTCAGACTGCATTCCTAATTTGGTTGGTCTTGCCAGTAAAGTGACAGGCAAAATCACTAGCTGTAAGCTTTGTTAATAGCGGAGTTGCAGTGGGATGAAAGTTAAAATATGAAAGAGGTGTTTGGCATCATGAAGGTAGGCAGAGAAAGGAGACACATTTTTATTTTTGCAAGGAAAAGGGAAGAAGTATAGGAACTTGTATTATAGCATGAATTTGTAATGTAGGTAGCAAGGTGCTTTACGAGATTTTCTCCAGCAACATTATGCAGTATGGGAGCATCGTTGGAGGTTGCTGTGCCGTGCGCTGAATGTTTGGCTGACACCTCGACTGAGCTTTGATTGGTGCAGCCATATTAGAGCATTAGACAGGACGGAATTGTAGTGTGAGCGTTGAGGAGAGAAAGTGAAGACTGAAGAGAATTGATGTAGATCAAGTTAGCTGAGGTTTCTGAAGATGAGAAGCTAGGTTTAATGAGGGGCACGTATTATCAGAAGATGGTGGTTAGAGGGAAAGGTGTGTTAGAGAGAGAGACAGACAAGTTTGGTGAGGACAAGGCTATTGCTGACTATGTGGAGGAGAGTTGGTCCATTGAGTACGGCCAAAGGAGGAGGTGCTAGAAGTGTAGATGCTGCTGAGTTGTTGGGTTAATGGGTATGTTAAAGTCGCCAAGGATGAGGCAAGGTATGTCGGAGGAAAGAAAGTAATGAATCCAGTAGAAAATTGGTCTAAGAGTAGATGAGTCAGGAGGGCAGTAGAATTACAGCAATAAGAGAGAGGACTAAAAAAGATGGATTGGACTTCAAAAGATGAAAAAGGAGAACAATGGGCAAAAGTTGGAACAGCGAGGAGAGTACACCACCATTTGCATTACGTGGTCTGAGAGTGGGAGAAGTGCAATCCATAAGATAGGCAGGAGTAGCTGTGCCAGGAGGTTTAAGCAACGGGAGATGAGATTGTAATTTGCAGCAGATGGTATGGTATTGGACTGAATGTGCATTCCATAGGGCACAGAGAAAGAAATGGGACGAGGCGGAGTGACAAGGTAAAGATAAAAGGTTTTCAGTTGTTCTGGTGGAGCTGTTGGTTGTGTGGGAAGCAGGGGGTCCAGAATTAGGAGACACATTCCCAGTTGCTAACCGCAAAATGATGGCCAGAGAAACAAGGTGGAAATGAGAGTGGAATGAATGTGTTGGACAGGGAGGATATTTTTTTATTTATTTTTTTCAAACTTTGGAACTAGAATTCTTCAAATGGCTGCGTTGCACTTGAAAGTCAGCCCTTCAGACATGAATGATAGTAAATTTCACAGATATTTTAGCTTACGAGAGTAGCTCATTTTTGCAGTTAAGCTGGTTTTTCCACCAACCAGAATAACTTGGTTTCAGATTTTGCTTTCTTATATGTGCCTGTTCAGTCTAAAAGCAGAATTAAGTGAAATTAATTCTTATTGCTCACAAATAAAAACCAGAAGACTTATCGACAAATTTCAGTTGTGATCTAACGTGAACCCTCTTATCCAACGTTTTAAGGTGGCAAGTGCTACTACACATTAGCATCATAGATTACTGACCTTGTCCTAAGTGATCATTCTTAAGTAATTTTGGGAGATAATGGTTTAATCTTTGCTTTATGTATGTTCTCCTGATGAGTCACAATAGTAAAAAGACACCAGTCTATATACTTTTCTGTCTTTCCAGGATGAGAATATGATCAACTTTATCAAGGGTGGAATGAAAGTTCGGAAAAGTTACATGATTTATCGGTGAGAAACTGGGTATGTGGGCCGCTGTGTGGACCATGTGTTATGTCGATAATCTGTATAAATATGCTGGCCATGGCAGTTCTGTAGGACGTGACATGGGAGATAAATCTGGAATTGCTGTGTAACCACTAGAAACCGGTATCTCTGAATGCTCATGTATGATTGACTGGAGATGTAGGGTCAGAGTATTAAATGTCAAAATTCACTTTGAATAAAGTCCAACTCAAACTAGTCATACGGGAAAAGTTCAGCTATGTTTTCAAATTGGCTACTGTGGTCTAAAACTCACCCTGAATTCCTGACATTTTACTTAATATGACTGATGGACTCTTTCAGGATTATTCACGAACGTAAGAATTGATGATGAATTTCAAATTTAAGACCGAAGTAGCTGGATTGGAATCACGGACTTGAATGTTTCCAGTTTGGCTACTTCTACTTTGATTTGAAATGCACTTTGAATTCCCGCTTTAATGAATACGCCTTTTAGGATAACTCGTCTTCAAGTTGTCCTGCTTTTAGTACTAATTCTGCAGTAAACATGTTTATAATTTTGCTTACAAAGACACTAGGCACTTTAACTATTCATCTAAATGAAGTGGTTCTAGTGCCCATAGTCCCGTGATGCCATCCCTCTGTAGGTTATTGAATGTTTTTTTTATTGGATGCTGGTCCTAGAGCGCCAGCAGTCTGGCCCTTCTGTGCTGCTGGGTTTAATGCTGCCCATTAGCCCACGCAGCGATTGGCCTCCAGTAAGGGTTGCGCTGTGGTTACACGGGACCCCAATTCAGCATTACACCGTATAAAAATGGCCTAACACTGAAAGGACAGCGCCGGGGATTCAAAGTACTATAACCACTTCAATTCCCTAAAGTATCTCTAGTGCCTAGATTGTTAGTTTTAAAGGTTAAAAAAAAACCTTTGCACACGACTAATAAGCTCTATGGTAATTCCTTACTCTGTGCAGCTAAAATGTTTTGTTGAGTTACTGATGTGCACGTGGAAATGTGAGGCATTTAACAAGGAAACTCCAAATTTTAGTTGAGTTGGCTTGTTTTCTAGCTCTTTCAGGGTAAAATGTGGAATTCAATATATATATATTTTTTTTAGTTTTATTTTTTACATCATTCCATACACTGAATTTTGAGATGTGTATGTAATTATACAATATATATGTGCCATATATTTCTATGCTCATATGTCCTTTCAGAGAGCTAAACAACATTATGCAGTCCAATACATTCCAGAAGGGGGAGTCACATTTACATCTGGAGGGAGGAGTCTCTCTGGGGATTGGCGCATTCAACTTGGTGAGTTAAAGGAACACGCAAGTTTAATTTTATTTATTTTTAGATTAATGGCTTTATTATTTTTAAATGCACAGTAAAGTAGCCTGTAATCCAGCTCCAGGACAGACTCCTCATTGCCAGAAAGAGTTCACACAGGGATGAATAATGAAGCCAATAAAATTCATGTTTCCGGAGCCCCTGTCTATCCTTTGGGCCCTGTGTAGGAGCCTAGGTTTACCATGTGGCTAATTGTGCTCTGCTCAGTGTAGCTGCTCTGGACAAAAGTTCTCTGCATTGATGACGTTATGGTAGGCAGTCAGATGCTTCTTATTGAGAAGTGACACACGGGACATGCACAACTGCCACAAACAAATTGTGCTTTAGAATTATTGGGCGCACAGAGCTTCTGGAATGACACCAGACATCAAATAGATCTAGTTATTGAATATATTTGTGTTGGAAGCCCCTAGAGGGGAGGTAGAAATTGTAAAATATACCTGACTGCTTAGTTCCGGTCTCCAAAAAAGGTATTCCCAGACTTTTAGGGAGGAGAGCGCACTCAAGTCCCAGGTCTCCTCCGATGTCTCCTTGTCTCCCTTACCTCCACTTAAAATAGTCCTCTATTTGGAGGCAAGGGAAACCGTAAAGCCCACCTAAGGATTTGACTGTACTTTGGCACAGTCCTGGTCAAGGAAATATATCCTGAGTATTTCAGAGGATTTCCCGGTCAGGCGCTTGAGATATACAATTAGTCCAGTCAATCTTCAGACGTCCTCATGTCTGCTTGGAAAGCACAGTAAGTGTCCAGGGCTCCCATACACCTCCCCACAATGACAGTAGCCCCTTTTATGGGCTCTTGGGCCCAGTCCCATAGTCTGTGGGCTGTAGGTTGGCCTTCTCTAAAAAGTCATGGCACAGGAGCTTCCGTCACAGTAAGGAAATAAATAATGGTGGGGCCATGGGAGATCTTCCAACACATTACAGCTCAGAAGTCAATGTTTGGGGCCCACTCTGAGGTGGCCTGGAGATAAAGGTTAAAAACCACTACTGTAGACCTCACATAACTTTTATTTAAAAAAGATTTTTCCCCCCATCAGCTGTCACTCGAGATGGTAGTGTACAAGCATTTTCAGCAGCCTTTCCTTTTCTAAATTAACACTATAGCATTAAGAATACAAATTATGTTATGTGTTCCAAATGCAAGTTTTTCTGGTAATTTGTTATTAATTTATTTTTTTCATTTTGTGAAAACTGCAGATTTCAATAGAAATTGGCACTTATACTTTTCTAAATTAACCTTACATCCCTACCTATCAAGCAGACAACTGCTCCTGTTACTTCCTGGCTTGTTTAGCTCAGTGGAGCTAAACTCAAGAGGCAGCAATTGTCCAGAACACCTGCCTTGCAAAGACTTCTAATTGAGCTGCATTGGGAAGTCTGTGATTGGACAGTCACAGAAAGTCTGGGTGGGGTTACAAGGGGAGGGTTTGCAAAGGCTGCAAACAAGAGAACTGCAGGTTTTGCAAACTGTTTTTACATATACCCCCATTGGGAAGTGTAATTAATTGAATACATGTTTTCATTTTGGCTAGATCTACTAAACAGTAATTATTTTGTATTTGTGCAGTGTCTTTTTTTTACCCTGCTTTTCAATATTGAGAGATGCTTCTCAATAAAACTAAATGTTAAATAATTTTGCAATGCACCTTACAAGGAAGTAATTCTAAATATGAATGTGTGTATATGAATATAAACATTTACTTAAAGTCAGCATTTCATCACTTGCACACGTGGAGGAATTTAATGGCCTCCACTCTTTTCCACAAAGAGCTTTTCAGAAATTGATTTAGACAGGAAACAAAGGGCGGTGTCCGTCATGGTCGGCTAATCCATTGTCTGCCGTCACTGTAATACCTGCTACTAATGAAATCCTGAGACTTTCACTCCATAACACAATAGGTACTGACTTAAAGCCATGAGAGCGCGATATCGGATTACTTTTACATTGTAAAGCACGTCATATAGACTTGCATACCCGATGGGAGATATTGCGTTCTAATGAAATCCTGAGATCAAACTCCCACTACTCCAGGGCGGCAGCAATGACTATAATACACATTAGCCCCAATACATTCAGTAAAACCAGGTGAATTGTTGGTATAGGACTCACTTAAGTGGTATAGCCTTGATGTGGCAGGTAAAATTACAATTTAATGGCCATTGGAGGGATACTAAGCGTTATTTATGTGTAGGGATTTGGAATACTGCGCAAGTAACTCTAAAGTATAATTAGTAATAAGTCCACACACAAAAAATGTAATGTGTTGGTGTAATTTCCATTGAGGTGATGTGTAGTCACAGGTACAACTAGCTGCGGGGAACCCGGCGTATATAGAAGTAAAACCCACACAATTCTGTCACGTTCTTTGTAGGAAACTAGATTGAATCTGGGTTATTTTAAGGCCCCGCATGATAATGGATATGTGCATAACAAAGTTGCCGTTACAATCTTTGTCTTAGAGGAATTGCAAAGAGTCAGCTTACCAGAATTAAAAGGAACTGTAGTAGACAATTTTGACACCCAAGTAGTCCATATAAAGTATAATTGAATAGAAAGGGGGTAGAACGAGATACAATCATTTCCCTTTGTTGGAATTTTATGATGGCAAGTTAGAGAACTCCTACACATTTAAAACTTCTATTAACCTGTGAGACCAAGTGTTATCTATCTATTGCCATGCCCTTACAAGAAATGTTATGTATGATGTACGATGTCCGGTTGGGAGGCTGTCAGTCAGTCCGGCGAGCACTGCTGGAGTCCATTATTAAACATTGCTTCTCCCCATGTCTTACCACAGACGCTGTCCCTCTTCCCCCCACGCATTTTGAAGTTACTGGAATTTGCTGGATTCTCTGGGGATAAGGTACTGCATTCTGGTTTCCTTCCTTGCTTTTTTATCTTTCTCATTCTACCAGTGTCTCTCTATCCTTTAAAGTCAGAGCTGTGAAATTAAGCAAGGTTTAAAATGGCAAGTCTTACACTACTAGAACTGTCTAAATGGTACTGGCCTCTACAAGCCTGGAGGGGTCATGGTCCAGGGTTGAATTTCTACTAACTAATGGCTAATGGTCTTGCCATTAATGTATACCATCTTTATCTCAGTCTCTTGCTCTGCCATTCTCTTCCTTATTTTCCCTCTGTTAATCCTTTTTTTTTTTTTTTTCTCAGGACTATGGTTTGTCTCAGCTTCGTGAAGGTTCCCAGTCCAACAATCTACGCTCCCTGCTTTGCACAATGCTACTGCTCTGTTATTACACCTTCCTCAGTTTTGTCTTGGGTGAGAAGTATGTGTGGACATTTTAGAGTACATTCTAAATCACCCTGTGCTGGGAGGGACAGACTCCATGTCCCATAGCTCCCTCCTGTCTGTGTCACCCTGTGCTGGGAGGGACAGACTCCATGTCCCATAGCTCCCTCCTGTCTGTGTCACCCTGTGCTGGGAGGGACAGACTCCATGTCCCATAGCTCCCTCCTGTCTGTGTCACCCTGTGCTGGGAGGGACAGACTCCATGTCCCATAGCTCCTTCCTGTCTGTGTCACACTGTGCTGGGAGGGACAGACTCCATGTCCCATAGCTCCCTCCTGTCTGTCACCCTGTGCTGGGAGGGACAGACTCCATGACCCACAGCTTCCTCCTGTGCTGGGAGGGACAGACTCCATGACCCATAGCTCCCTCCTGTCTGTGTCACCCTGTGCTGAGAGGGACAGACTCCGTGTCCCATAGCTCCCTCCTGTCTGTGTCACCCTGTGCTGAGAGGGACAGACTCCGTGTCCCATAGCTCCCTCCTGTCTGTGTCACCCTGTGCTGGGAAGGACAGACTCCATGTCCCATAGCTCCTTCCTGTCTGTGTCACACTGTGCTGGGAGGGACAGACTCCATGTCCCTTAGCTTCCTCCTGTCTGTGTCACCTTGTGCTGGGAGGGACAGACTCCATGTCCCATAGCTCCCTCCTGTCTGTGTCACACTGTGCTGGGAGGGACAGACTCCATGTCCCATAGCTCCCTCCTGTCTGTGTCACCCTGTGCTGGGAGGGACAGACTCCATGTCCCATAGTTTCCTCCTGTCTGTGTCACCCTGTGCTGGGAGGGACAGACTCCATGTCCCATAGCTTCCTCCTGTCTGTGTCACCCTGTGCTGGGAGGGACAGACTCCATGTCCCATAGCTCCCTCCTGTCTGTGTCACCCTGTGCTGGGAGGGACAGACTCCATGTCCCATAGCTCCCTCCTGTGCTGGGAGGGACAGGCTCCATGTCCAATGTCCTTATCTGGTGAGCGGAACAAACACCTTGGATATATTATTTTGATGTGAAACTAAAGCACACCCTGCCATGTATGGCATCTGCAATTAAAGAGCTCACTGTTTTCTCTTCATGCTGTGGTTACAGGCATTGGTGAAGATAATCTCTCTGAAGCAGAAGCCATCCTGCAGCCGTACCTGACCAGCTATCCCAAGGTGAGTACAAACATCCCTAAACAATTATATTACGTAAGCATTGTTACCTTTGCCTGACAATGGTTTTACATACTAAAGTTTGCATGGCCAGTTTTATTTACATATTTAAATTATGATTAAGATTTGGTTTAATGGGGGCACCAGTATGTGCCCATTCTGATGTTGCTGGGTATCTTTCACCTACTTTGCCCTTGTTCCTTTCAGAGTGCCATCTTTCTCTTCTTTGCTGGGAGGATTGAAGAAATTAAAGGAAATATTGATGAGGTGAGAATCTGCTGGGAACCACCTGTCTGTCCATTGCACGGCTACATCTATCCATCGTGCCCTCTGTTGTGTTCCCACTATAATAAATATGTATATGCTACGAGAGAAAATTGATAATTGAACCCTTTACTGTCCCGAGCTTCCACTTGTCCTAACTCTGTGTCTCCTGTTTGTCCAGGCTGTGAATTGGTTTGAGTTGGGTTGCTCGGCCCAGCAGTCGTGGAAGCAGTTCCACCACATGTGTTATTGGGAGCTGATGTGGTGCTTTGCTTATAAAGGAATGTGGAAGCTGGCATACTTCTATGCAGATCTCCTAAGCAAAGAGAATCGGTGGTCAAAGGTACATGATGGACAATCTTCCTCGATCTAGTCTTCTCTACACAACTTTGGCCATCTTTTACCTATCCCTTCTGGCAGCAATTACTGCCTTTAATATGTTACATCTTTTAATTTTACATGTCTTTCCTGTGTCCCCTGAGCGTGTTTCCCTCATTTCTAGTCCTCTGGTAATTCTTCTTTTTATACACCCCACTAGTTCCCCTATGTACAACCTTGTAGTGCTCTTTCCGACCTCTTACTGTTCATTCTGCTTTTCGATTTTCCTCTTTTATCCCTTGTAATTACTCTTAATTTTTCTATTACTGTCTCAGCATTGTTCCGTAATGTCCTTTTCTTTTCTCCCCACCATTACAATCCAGTAGACATTGTTCTGTCTAGTCTCATTGTTAGTTTCTCTCTGATACTCCTTGTGCTTCTATTTTTATCCAGGCCATGTACGTGTACATGAAGGCAGCCTTTCTCAGTATGTTACCCAAGCATGAAGCACGACCATTCGACGAGAATGAAGTGGAGTTGTTCAGGTCAGTAATGAAGATAATACGGGCTTGATGGATGGGGCATATGGTTTAGTAAAAGGTTTATGTGTAGGGGCCACATGTTGTTGTGAACAGACTGAAACAGTTTATGACTACGTGAGCAAATACTGAGCAGAAAAGCAATATAAAACAACCTCGTAGATTTTGATAAATGAACAAATATAAACAAAATATAGAAACTGTTTTAGGCACTTAAAATTGTAATCTAGTATCCGTGTTTATAGGCAATCAGACTCTGCATTCAGGAATCCACTGAAAAAAAATTGTATTGTCAAGAGTGCCATCTGGTGGTCGAAATATTTTTGTTTTTGGATACCTTTCAACTAGTCCAAGAGCTGTTTGTATAAACCAGAAACAAGTAGTTTGCTCCATCTGTCCTGAAATAATTTGCTTGTTTGTGGCTCCGCTATCCTTTCACTGGTACGCATGTATAGACACCCTTGGCACCACGAGTACACAGCAACTCTCCTGCACACAGCAGTCATAACCGCGGTTGCCAATTTGTAGTTCCCACATCTGCTTGTTGTACTGGGCCCAAGATAGTTTGTCCGATCTTTGATTTCCAAGAGGTGAACAAGCACTTAGTCTTTGCCCCCACGTGCAATGCACTGCAGCGAGCCTTGCCACTAATCCCAAAAGTAAATAGAAAAGCCATAATGAGTTGGCAGGCTCCATGGCTGTAAAAGGGATTCTTTCATCAACACGAACAAGGGCCAGTATCTTGGGGTGTAATGACCTTACCAAAACCACAGGCTTCCAAGCCACTTCAGGCCTTGTGTGATTAAGGTCATTACAGGCCTAAATGTCAATAGGCGTTCGTGGTGTTCCTTCTGTTTATCCAGTGGCTGCTTGTTCTTTATGGCTACTGTATAATTTATTCCTGATGGCGAGGTTTGATGGCGCATGCAGTGAAAAGAATAATACCTGGCAAATTATGCTGGCTTTAAATGCGACAAAGCTGCAGCCACTTCGGGAACTATGCTTGTCTAGCAGATAAAGACAGACCAGAGCAATAGACTGTGCTTGGTTGAATTTGTGTGCTTGCTGTGTGTGACTTTATTACGATGATCTTTTAATAGTTTTTAACCGCCATAGTGTTCCATGGCGTAATAGCAAGGTGTTATAAATTCATGATGGATAGTGCAGCTATCTGTGTGTACACCATGATAGAGCTGGAGGTTAGGCCCTGCTTGTCACATGGAAGAATTGAAGAGCAGGTCAGGGTGATTGACAAGTTAGGGCCTGATGGAATTTCTATTTGGTAGAAGTGGTGTTCGGGCTATAACGGTGGGGGTGTGTGTAAATGCATGATTATCATAAATTCTCCAGTGGAAACGAGAGCAGGAGTAATAAAGATGTTTTACACCCATTATCTTGCAGACTGGTTCCTTCTTTAAAACAGAAAATAGCTGGAAAATCCCCACCCACTGAGAAATTCGCCATAAGGAAGGCGAGGAGATACCAAGCGAAGGATCCCATCAATCTGCCGGTGCCTGCTCTGGTACGTTCACGGTGTATTGAATCGGTTTTATACTTCAGGGTGTGCCAAGATGGCTGCTTTGTCTCCTAGAAAGGTCATTCTCGCTTTGTCTCTTTTTATACTCTTTAAACCTTTTTGAGTCTCAGATGAGAAAAGCATTGTAAAAAATAACAATGTTCTAGTTCACTAGAAGCTTCTGACCTCTTTCCCTTCCCATGTGATTAAAAAGTACACACAGCTAAAACCAGTTGGACAGGTTATCTTTAATACTAAATTCACATTTTAGAATATACGCAATCAAAGCAGACCAGTTTACAGTATAACTGGTGTGTGAGCTTCAATGGGGCATGAAATCTCTGTCCACACTGTGAAGGAGCTTTATGGGTTGGATCCCGGTACTTTTCCATACTTTCACATTCAAATTAAAGCCAGTTTATTCTTTCTAGTATGGAAACTGGTTTCGCCTCCCTCTCCCCTCCCCCTGTATGGTAGAGATTCCACCTGTTACCACAATGTTCAGAAACATGAGATTCCCTGATCCACCATGTTTTCCTCAATTCCTTTGACTTGGTGGATCTAGCAGATTTGTGCTTATGTCATCATGGACAGGTGGAGTGCCACCAAAAAATGCACTTCCTTCCGGCCTGTAGAATTCATATGCTGCTGGTAGGAAACAATTCAGTAGTTAAGAGACTACATTTGATGAGATGGAGTGGTCTCGCTATAGGCACCCAGACCACTTCATCTCATCGAAGTGGCCTGGGTGCAATGTCCCTTTCCCTCTTACTCCTGCAATGTAAATCATTGCAGTTTTAGAGAAACTGCAAAAATTACATTGCAGCACGAAGACTGCCTCTAGTGGCTGTCAGTCAATAGAGGCACTTCCTGGATCCTAATAGACTTTCGGTCGCCTAACTGACACTGGACATCACCATGCTCTGCATAGGAAAGCATTGAGGGAATGATTTTATAATGGGCTTAATGCGCTTACCACGCATGAGCTTTAGCCTCCGTCCGTGTTGGATGACTTCTGAGGAGAGGGAGCGCCTTGGCATTGGAATCGCTTAAGTGACTAAAGATTTTTCAACACTTTAGCTGCCGGAGGGAGGGCTCTGTAGTGTTACGAATACAGATTTCTATTTCTAAAACTACATAGAATCCCTTGAATCTCCTGCAATATAAAAGGATGTTTTATGTGCTGTCCATCAACATAAATAACTGCAGGGCTGCTAGAGGGATGATAAGACTCAGTTCAAGCAATTCTTCTCAGAGCATATGATTGCAGGAGCGCGGTGCTTGGTGTGCATGCTCTTGTCCACAATGCATCTCTATTAGAAGCAATAGACTGGATGAGACGACCAAAGATGTCAGCATGCTTGCTTAGGAAGGAGGCGGCACAGGCAGCTGAGACAAGTGTCTCTGTCCACCACCTTTTATTTAAAATAGAACGATTTAAAAAAAAAAAAAAAAGGTGGGGGGGAGGAAATTCTGGACTGTAGGAATCCGTTCAAATAGTTTTATTGAAAGTCACAAACCCTGATTAACTTGGTTATCATTTCCCCCAACCTCCCCCTTACAGGAGATGATGTATTTATGGAACGGGTTCTCGGTGATTGGCAGAGATGCCCAAATGACAGAAGATGCCTTGAATACTCTGTGTGCAGCTGAGAGTCGCCTGCATGAGGAACCAGGTACTCCATCCAGTAAAAAATCATTGCATTTTCCTGTAATTTGGCATTTCTAAGGTGTTTGTTTTTTTTATATTCTTCCGTATTTATTTGCAGCAAATTATTCCTCATGGTGTCACACCAAACCCCCTGTTCCACTTGCGTTCTTTTTGGTTCATAAATCTGTTGCTCCCAAGCTTTAACTAAAAGAACAAATGTGACTTTAGCGTCTTACAAATATTCTACTTTTCTTAATTTTAATTTATATATTTTTTTAAAATAATGCATGTTGGCCGGTGTGTGAATGCAGGTGTATAATTTTGCAGTGTCACATGCACACAGTCTGTCAGTTGCACACATTTATACACATACTGTCAAATTCAGCCACATGCGCAGTAACGGACAGCCAGTCACACACACTGTTACTCTTCCCATTATGGACACGGGCTGGGTGTGGAGTGGAGGCAATATAGTCCCTAGTGTGTAGTGGTTTGGTGACCTGTGACTCTGCTATGCTTCCCCCAAATGGGCAGCGGGTTCAGGCTGCATTTAGCTCATCCTCTTCTGCCCACTTGAATCCATCCACCCTGCCTCCCTTACTATTGGGAGAATCTCTGCATAGACTCCTCCTGTTTGTGCGAGCTGTTTCGGCTGCATGGTGCCCTGTAGAGCTTGCACACCCTTAAGGACAGCCCTGTGAGAAATGGAAAGTGCAAGAAAAACAGATTATGGTGCCCTGCAGAAATGTTTATAAGAAAATGGCACATGCGTGCAAAGTCAGAACATAATTGAGCGTAAATGCAGCAGTTGTTGCTCTTAAAAGAACAGTAAAGCTTCCAGAATAGAAACTGGTATTACAAATGCTATAGGTTAGTACACATGCGTGGCAAATAGTCACACTGCATTGACTCCATGCAACTATGAGGATATGCTGATTGGTGCAGTGTATGGAGATGGTAAATATCAGCCCTGCAATCTTTGCAGGACCTAACCCAGGAATTCCCTCTAGTGTTTACACTACTCTGCCTGCAGGGACAGACTATTCGCCCCAGAACCACTGTGTATTTGTGTATTAGTACATGTGTCTGCACATACCACCCTCATATTGCAGTCAAAGATAAAGTTGCAAGCAACATATATATTATATGCATACATACATATACAACACATGGGAAGCACCTATATGATGATATACATGTAAATGATTATAGAATATGTGGTCTTATCTGTACCTTTATTTGGTAAATAATTTTTTGCAAAAGCCCAACCAAAATGTTAATTTTGTTTCAAATAACCCCTTTACACTGGCACTTATGTATACCAACAATCGTGTAGAAATGATTAACATCATTGCAAATCATGCCATAACTACAGTCTGATAGCTCACATCGCAGCAGCATAGGGAGCTGTGACAATGCAAGCCTCTGAAGATGAATGCAGGGACTAGCTCTCTGTATCCAACGCTGCAAGCCTGCCCTTCATTATATCTACAGCTCCTTATACACACACAAGTCAATCCCTATTTTTTGCACTAATGGTGTTAGTGGGGGCCTCATTTTTGAGTTTCGCTTAAGGCCTTGCAAAGGCTAGAGCCACCCCGACTCTATCCTCTCAGCTAGGTCCGTTATCCTATCTGGGTTAGTCACTGAAGTGAAAATTGTCATGAATTCAAAGTGAATTTCAAATTTTGGGCCAAAATAGCCAAAACAGAACATTTCAGTTTTTTTTTGGCCAAATATTTAAAATTCACTTTAAATTCCCCACAGTTCACGCTCTAAAAAACAAACAACATAATTCATATTGGTGTATAATCTAAATTGTTAAAGTTTTTTTTTTTCATGACGAAAGCAAAAATCAAGGTGCAAGAGAGTACTGAGAATGGACTACAGCTCAAATAGCCTGCCCTTCGGTGGGTCCCTGCTCGAATATCAAGCTGGTTTTAGCTCTTCTTGTGCCATTATAGAAAGAACCAGGCTATTTGCATATCAGACTGACCCCACCCAATAGTGTGGAACAGATCCAAAAGGCAAGCCGGCTCTCTGCACGAGAGAAACCGCAACCCCAGACTATCGTTTCAACCTTGTTGGGCATCGTCAATATCCCTCCTAGGCATCGTGAGCAAGGGGTCCTAACAAAGCCAGGGCTGCATAAACAAACTGATTTAACTCCCAAATGGCAGAGATTGGAGCAGCGAGACTGCAGGGGCACTATCTATACACCAAAACTGCTTCATTAAGCTAAAGTTATTTGGTGCCCAGAGTGTCCCTTTAATTTAAGAGTGATGAAGGTTCATTCCAAATCTTAGAGGGAACATTATTTGAGCAGTATAACCTCTTCACATCTGCCTGCATGCACTGTGTAATCTTGTAAACGGAAGCTGTGCATTTGCCTAGAATAGGTCAGAAAGTCTGGGCTGTTTTTTAGAATTTGAAGTTGTCCTAACTTCAATCACCTTCACCGTGAAAGCACTCATGGGAAGCAAGGAAATATTTTCAGGTAATTTACTTGGTCGTAGCGGTAAGACGGTCCCAGCTGATTCATATTTAGGGGTCTGAAATGTGAACTCCAGGCTGTAGTCGACCCTTCCTTTGGTGGTGCGTTCTCCTGTAGAGGGATGCAACAGAACAATTCCCTAAAGTCATGATGTCCTATACGCCCATTTTTTGGGGGGCGCAAAACTGGAAACACTACTAGTTGGGAGGGCGGAGCAGTAAGGGAGGAACTTGAGGTATAAAACAAATTCTTGTTAAAGCGAATACATATGGAAGTGTGATTAAGCCTTTGCTCCCTTTGTTGCAGCAAATGACTATTTTGATGATGACCTTTGCACCATTATGCTTCTGAAGGGTTTGTGTCTAAAACACCGGGGCAAACTGACACAGGCAGAGCAGTGCTTCGTACAGATATGTCAGAGGTAAGGCTGAACAGGGGCTAAGGTGACCTATTGACAGACATTTAATGGGTTACTAGGTCAGTAGTCCCGAGGAGTAGTGACATAATGACAGTGCTAGGTTTGATGGTCCCACTGGACAGCATTGTGAACTAATGACCGTGACTGGTGTGGTTGAAGGGTCTGTCCCACTGAATAGCACAGTGACCTAATAATTTTTTCCCTACAGTGAGAAGCGGATAAAGTTTGATTGCCATTTGGTCCCCAACGCACTGTTGGAGCTTGGTCTGTTGTATATGCAGCAACGTAGGGGGGAAGATGCCATACCCATTCTACGCCGTGCCAAGTACGTATATTTTCTTGGTGTCAGACTGTAAATAGATTGATCCACTTTTAATGGACACAGACTAGTTACCGCTTACCTCTACAATGCAGTGGTTTGTGAACGTAGAGAAAATACACCCTTAATATGGATAAGTGGCTTGCTAAAGAGACCTATATCGAAGATGGCTAATTCTAGTGTTTAGATTTTGGATTTAGCCACACACAGAGGTTCCTAGAATAATGTAAAAAGTAGTAAACAAAAAAACAACAACTTTATTGCAACATTACAAAATTAAGTGAAATAGGGACACTAGTCCAATTTACCTAATTTTGCAGTAACAATTTTTTATTTTTTTATTTTTTTAATTACCTTCTACATTATTCTAGGGGCCTGTGTGTCTCGTATCACTCTAGGCATATTAGACTGTAGTTGTTTCTATGGTTTGTGAATTGTATTTCCCACGATCCTTTAGAATGTGTTGTATTTCCTAAGTGAGCCATCACTAGTGTAGGCCAGGGTGTACCAAGCAGTATATTTTATGATAGTACTTGCAGTATCCGTGAATTCACAGGTAACTATAGAAAGTGCCAGGCTGTCTGTATTGACATCTGAAAACTCTCTCTCTTACAGGAACAACTATAAAAATTATTCCATGGAATCGAGGACTCTCTTTAGAATTCACGCTGCACTTACTAAACTCAAAGCCCCGGACTCTGAAGAAAACAGCACGGATGGGGCCAGCCTCTCCTGACTCTCGCACTCCCACTCCTTCTCTAAATAAAGCCTTGTGTCATTATTCCAGAGATTGCTATAATATACACCGTACATACATATATTAGACTGGATATCTCTAGATCTCAAGACCATAACCAGAAGAGGAAACGTGCCCAAACTCTGCCTTATATTTTGAGCAGAATCATCCATTTACATTTTAATGATTGACTGTGTTCCTTTAAATAGTAATAATTGTAAATGTAATAAATTATATAGTTTTAATTTTAAGCTTGTTTGAATGTGTTTATACCGTCTTGGGAACTCTGGGCTGCTTGGGCATTTATACAAAAATAAAATAAACACCAAGCTTTAAAGGAACACTATAGTCCCCTAAACAACTAGTTTGATGCAGCAGTTTTAGTGTATATAGATCATGCTTATCATGTTTCACTGCTTAATTCTCTGCCTTTTAGGAGTTAAATCACTTTGTTTCTGTTTATACAGCCCTTAGCCACACCTCCTTGACTCTGACACAGCCTGCATGAAAATAAAAACTGGTTTCACTTTCAATCTTGTATCTTACCTTAAACCATTTTATCGCTTGCTCTGTAAATTAAACTTTAATCACATACCAGAGGCTCTCGCAGGGTCCAGCAAGTTATTAACATAGCAGGGGATAAGAAAATCTAAATTAAATAGAACTTGCAATAAAGGAAGGATAAACTTTAGATGACTCTTTACAGGAAGTGTTTAGGAAGGCTGTGCAAGTCACATGCAGAGAGGTGTGACGAGGGTTCATAAACAGTGATTTAACTCCTAAATGGCAGAGAATTGATGAGTGAGACTGCAGGGGCATGATCTATACACCAAAACTGCTTCATTAAGCTAAAGTTGTTTTGGTGACTATAGTGTTCCTTTTATCCTGAGCAATTCTGGGGGTTGATGGAACTGTGGGTCTCACTGGTCTGATCTAATGCATATAGAGAGCAGAACCTTCAGTGTATACAAGACTGCTCAGTTTATTTATCAATTTGCATACACAACTTGAGTTGTTGGGAATTCAAAGTAAACTTCAAAATATGTATGCCAAAATAGGCAAACTGAAACCATAGCCAACATTGAAAATTTAGACAAAAATAGCAAATTTGGAAAACTTCCAATTTACTTTGAATTTCTGACATTTCACATTTTAGTAAATAACAGTGACTAACTCGTCTAGACTATATAGTAATGTTTCCTGAAGAAGTGGGAGATGTTCATTCAGAGGCATAGATCTATCCGAGGTGAGATGGTGTATCAAGATTAAGGTCATATAGCTGCTCATTATCACCATGCACACCGAACTTATATTTTAGAGTGCAGATTGCCACTCCACCAAGGTAGCACAACGCAGTGACACATGACTCCTTGCCTGGGGACTATACCTCTACTACCTGCATATAGGACAAAGTCTATGACTAAACAAGGTTATATTTCAGGTTTGATAAATGTCTTTAGGGGGAGGGTGGGAGACAAATGTTATGGGTTTTAGGCCACCAGTAAATGAGTTGTGCTGGACTTCTGGTTCTATTACCATTCCCATGGAATGCCTGCTCCCTTCTTGCCCTGTCAAACTGACCTTCAAACCTTTTAGAAGTCTATTAAAACCTTTTTGGCAAGCCTATAGGTCCCCTGGGTAGTTTTCACTCAAATCTGTGTGCTTGGTCTCTCCTAACCTAATTGGTGGCTGCACATTCCACTGAATGTGCACCTTTCTCAGACATTTATCCTAGGTGTCAAAACTGAATTTCAAAATGTAGAAGACTGACATTCCTCAGGCAATGAGTTCTGCTCAAAGCTGGTCAAAACTGATTCTGCTAAAGCTCAAGGGGCTGTTCTGCCTTAACGATGCTTTTGATCCCTGCCCAGGAAAGTGAAAAATGGCAACACCTCAACACCATAATCACTACAGTCTACACTTGTGGTTATAGTGCACTCCAGTGTAATTGGTCAAATCATTTGGCAGTTTAACAACCTACCTGGAGTTGTTGAGCCAAAGGCTCCTGCAAACGTGTTTTTCTGTACCACTGGCTCAGTGCTGGAGTTTGAGCCAGTCAAACATATTGCAAACAGATGCGAAGACCATTTGATTGGTGCAGTGTGGCATTCAGCTGCACACATGCACTAGCCTTTCAGTACTTTCCTATAGGAAAGCATTGGATTGGCTGAAATAATTGATCTTGGCCAAAGAGAATGAGCTTCACTGAGAGGGAGAAAAAGTAAAAAATAATTATTTTTTATACCATGGCACTATAGTATTAAGAATACACATTTGTATACCTAATCCTATAGTGGTCCTTTAGAAAAAGAAATCTAATTTCACACTTTGTTTTGTGTGGCTTACACGTAAAGGAATTCTATAATGTAAGGAATATAAAGTTGTATTCCTTACATAGTTCCCTGTGGTTTCCGCGCTTTAGGTCCTCTCCACAGGAAAGCAATGCTTGAAAGTTTTCCTGTGGGGATTTTATGGACGCTGTATGTCCTCATGTAGTGTGGGAGGACATCCAATAACAGGCGCCTAAAAGTTGGTTAGCCACCAGGAAGAGCATACAGTGACTGTCCACTAGTAGCAGTCTTAGTCCTGCAATGATTTACAGTGCAAGACTTAGGGGAACAGGGATAAGCATATTATTGGAATCAAAGGTCACAGCCTTTTAAAAGGTCATATTGAACTTTAGAAAAGAAAGAATAGCAATTCTAAGACTCGACACTTTATTTGCTTAATTTATTTTTAAAGAAGGGTTTGACAACGCATGAACCAGATCTTCAGTTCTGTGTTGCTGATGCCATCTTCTGTTCTGCCTCAAACATGCATGGCCTTCCTGTACAAGATGCCTTTGAAACATACGCCATGTCAAACTCTGATACATGTGGCCACCAGAGGTGTTGCTGATATTATCTGAGTAATCCAACATACAAGGTAATTAACATGATCCATTCATTCAACCACTGCATATTTTCCCCACATGATCAACATTTTCCACCTGTAGATCAAATGTTTAAGAACTGGCAGGTGTGTCCTTATCACCACCTGCTGGTGGAAAGGAGCATTTTGACTGCACAGATCTCTTGAAACATTTTAAAGAATTCCCTCTGTTGGGTTACTTGCTGTGACAGTCCCTCCTTCTTGGGTAGCTGCTGATGTGGCGCCCTCCACCGGGGTACTTGACGTTACTCCACCTGCTGTTGCCCTTGCTTCCCCAGCAGCTGGGCTTGTTGACAGAGCCTCCTCCTTCAGCTGTTTTTTCAGGAGCTTCCTCCTCTTTTTCTCCTGTTTCTCGAGCTCTTTCACCATCTCCTGGAATTTTGGACTTCGATAGTCCACGTTGAGACCAAACTTTTCACGGGCTTGAGCTAAAAGACGCTCTCTTCGGTCCTTTTCATCTTGCTGTTTCTGTTTCAGCTCCCGCTTTTCTCTGCGCCAATCTGCCACCATCTGGGGCATCTTTGCTAAATTAGCAGCAATAATACGGTCCCTAAAAAAAATTAAATATAAGAAAAACTTTGTTTTAGTGAAAGACTACACAGAAAAATGTCTTTACAGAAAGGATGAAAGTAAAATAACTTTAACCTGATCAAATAGAATGCTGATATAACAGCTGTGAAATAAGCATATGTTTGTATTACTCTAACGAATTACCTGGCAGACAATGTACACAGAGAGTCCTTGCACCAAGAACCTGTCTGTGTAAAACCAGTAAAATTCTGCAGCTCTAAAAGGAAATACCTTCTTCTACAAGTGTTTTACTGGTTACATTTTAAGAAATGCAATACGGTGTAAGGGGTTCACATATCAATTATAAAATTGCTCTTTAGTACAGACCTCCCTTTCCACTGATGGACTATGTTTCCTAGAATCCTTAGCCAATAAGAAACGAGTCCAATGGTAGCCAATGACCAACCTTGGATTACAGAATAAAATATTTATGGATATAAATTTCAAAATCATTTCGGGGTTCAATAAGGTTCCCAATGCCATACTCACTACAGCTCACTCTAGTGATTATTGTGCTTGGAGTGTTTCTTTAACTGCTGCCAAAAGAAAATGGGGGGAAAAAAACCCCAGACAGTATTAGATCTGGAATATACAGAGAGTAAATATAAAACTGTTTTTGGTTTTTTAAATGTTGCTATGTAAAATAATAATAAAAAGAAAAAAATTTGATGGTGATGTACCCTCCAAGATAAACTACCTTTAAAAACGTGTTTAAACTTTTTTTTTTACAGCATAGTTATCAGGGATTTTTGAAAAAATGTTTTAACTAATCTGGGATCATGAAAATATAACCTGAGTATTGTGAATTTAAGGTCAAAATAGCTGATTTATATGCAATTCTCCTGTTATTTCTTTACAATTTCCAGTTTAGTACATCAAACACAACTGACTGTAATTGTACTTAGCCTTAACTCTCTTAGGTACAATGAGAAATACCCCAGAGAGCGGGGGCAAGTTTTCTATGACAGCTGCACTTATTTGAGTTTCAGTAAGCCACCCTGTTTACAAGACACAAATCCTGTATTTTAGGTCAGGTGTGAATCTTAAGGTGTGATGCAAGAATTAAATCAAAACAAGACAACTAAGTGGACTAAAGTTCATGCAACCTGGCTACCAATGTGTTTGAGAAGATGCTTAAAGCAAGGGTTTGCCCTGCAAACTCTGAGAAAAAACCCCCCAAAAACTAGCCGCGTCCCCTGAAACCCCAATAAAATGACATACATCTCTTACTCCCTCCGTAGACACCTCCAATCCCAAGTGATTATACTTCAGAAAGATTTTACCCCTATTGCACGCCTACTATATGTAGCTACATCCTGCTCCCTGTGGATTATCTAATGAAATAGGATACAATGGTGTGATATCATTCCTGAGCACTGTCATGAACGCCTGAACAGGGCCTAAGACCTACTTAACAAATATAAAAGATGCATAGATCATGTGAATTCAGGGAGCCATCTAGAAAGATGCTAGTAAGCCTTCTCAAAGCACAGCTCAGTAAGGAATGCACTGTTCCTCTACAAACAATGCACCTTATAGGCCACTTTGCAATGAACTTTGTAGGGTCTCTGATCCTAAGTATGATAAAAAGACAAGATGGTCACTTTCAGTCACCTAACTTTATAAACTTCTGACTTTGAGACAGTACGCAGTACACAACACATTTAAAGCTAACCTATCTCGCCAGATTAATCCTAAAGGGACATTGTAGACACTGTGCATCTGTTCTAACATTATTGATTAGCCTTTGCTATTGTAACTTTGAAGGAATACACATTTTTTTTAAAGCAATGCTCAATTTATAATTTTTTTTAATTTTTTTTTTTATTACCCTTTAATATGGACTCAAAAAGTGCATTCTGGAGAGCAGTTCTAATTTATTCCTCTAAATTGTAACAAAAAAGGTGGCCCGCTTGTCAAACTGTTAACAGGTGCACATATCAAAAGATATTGATTTAACAATGTTTTATTTAGATTGTTCTTTTTATTTCTTTTACAATTACTGTCACACTCCGCCTAACGCACAGCAGAGATTTGAAGAAAACAAGTTTACCTTTAGTACTTTACAAAGTAGAAACAAATTGAATGTATTTTTTTTAGTGATAATATTGAATACCATTTTTTCTACGAGTACACACCTAACAGTGTTTCACCTATACGAAAGAAAAATACACAACCTTTCTTAAACAAATCAATTAGTATATATATATATATATATATATATATATATATATATATATATATTTTTTTTTTTTTTTTTTAAAAGAGAATCCCGAGGGGTGCATAGCACTGACCTTTCTTCTTTCTTTTTTTGCAATTCCCTCTCCTTGGCCTCCACTCTGTCTAACATCTCCTGCAGACTTGGGTACCATTCCTTCTCATCTTCCTCAATTTCCCTGAGGCGCTGTGGACTCGGCCATAGCTTTGATGGGTCAACCCCAGAGGCAGCCCCATGTCGCCCATACAACTTCGCTTCATACTGTGGCCCTTTATGCCATTCTTTAGTCTTGGGGTCTTGAGGGTCCGGCTTATACACCCCACCCAGCCCCCATACCCGTGGTCGGGCATGGTAACCAGCGGCTGGAAAAGACAAGGTCAGTGATCGCCAATGTGCACAGCACCTACTGATGGGCGCCGCCATCTTGGAAACCCGCCGAACTTCCCGGACGGGGTCCTCAGAGTGTGGCGGAAGTGCAATGCTTGCCGTGCTTTCCTATGTGGGTCCTTGTTTTGTCATATTGCTGTCCACAGAGGTGCCTGTCTTGCCGCTAGACAGATATACTCCAGACAAATCACAGTTTAGTGCTTTTCCTAAACGTGTTAACGAACAGTAGGGTTCATTAACTAAAATTCTATTTGCAGCACTTTGTAATAAAATTGTAAAATTTCAGGTAAAATAAGCCATTGATGACTCCAGCTGTGTTATCTTGTAATTCAGTAAATAAACCTCATAAACCTATACATTGCATCGACTGAGCTAAGATATATGAGCAATGTATCTTCAGGATTATTCACTAAACTGTGAATTGTCAAGAATTTAAAGTGAATTTCAGTTTTAGCCAATTCTGTTATTATTGCCTAAATTTAGAAATTAACTTTGAATTTCCCCCATTCCACCGTTTACTGAATATCTTTTTTAATTATATATTTTTATTTTTTTTCAGCTAAAATAGCCACACTGGAAAAGTAGTTAAATTGGAGGATTTTATATTTTCAACTATTTTGGCCTAGAAACTGCGGCATTCACCCATCAAGGCAATATGTTCCCTATTAAGGGTTAAAGGGATTCTCCAGTGCCAGGAAAACATATTGGTTTTCCTGGCACTGCAGGACCCTGTAGTACCCCTCTCCCTCCCACCCCCTTCAGTGACTTACCGGAGTCCAGCGCCAATGTCCCTCGGCGCTGGTCAGGCTCCACCTACTCTCCTCCACCGCTGACGTCAGCCGGCGGGGGAGACCTAATGTGCATGCACGGCACTTAGCGTGAGGACTTCCAGCGTCGCTTAAAACACTTTTCGTGTTCTAAGATAGACAGCCAGTAGAGGAGGACTTAACCCTGCAAGGTAAATATTGCATTTTATGGAAACTGGCACCTGGACCACTCCAATGGGTAGAAGTGGTCTGGGTGCCTGGAGTGTCCCTTTAATAAGTGTGTTTCAGAGATTTCTTTGCCTGAAGCAGAAGGAAGCAAGGTGAATTGTTAGTGTAGGACCCTCCTAAGAGGTTTGCCTCGATGTTGGCGGTGGGCTTACATCTAATGGCCATTGGAGTTACTTAATATCCTCCATTTAAAAAAAACCAAAAACATGCATAGGGATTTGGGCTAGTGCGCAAATAATTCTTTCTTTGGTTTTTATTGTAAATATTTACATCCACACCTGCCGGAGGTCCTATATTTCTGCATGCAGTTCCCTCAACTGGGATATTCAATGCATTCTGCTACCCCAGGTTTTATATCTGCATGTTTATTTTTCTTGTAAAATAAAGCAAACTAGAAAGACAAAGAAAGAGAGTGCCTGTCGTGGTGGGATAAAGGCATTGAACATGCATTTGACCTCCAGGCCATTGACTGCCATGCGTCTTCCGCCCATGGTAAAGGTACAGAGTCAGATGACCTCTTTCTTTAATTTCTACTGAAGTAAATGAGTGGCCCCATCTTGTTAAATAGCTAATAAACATCACTAGGGTTTGAAAAAAACCAAACCTGTCGCTCATAATTTTTTACCTTGTTACTGAAAGAAATTTGTCAATGGGAAATCAATGTCTACCATTCATTTATGAAAGAGCAAAGTCTAAGCAGGTACAGTGCTTGGCAACTTCTGAAAACATGGCAGTCCAACTCCATTTTGTTCTGTAAAACAGTCTGTAATAGACCTTACCACGGCGACTAAGCTGCATGTGTTTACATACAAACACTATATCACCTGTCTACATGAAACTCAAACATGTCCCACACACCGCCTGCCCCTGAAACCTAATCATGGATTTCTTGTTATTTTTAATTGAAACTGAATTCTGTGATTGAACAGGTGAGGAAGGTGCTATATTCTGCTCTGTCAAACTCTCCTACCTTTAATCTTCAAAACCCTGCCCAGTTTAAATGGATATTTAAAGCAGGATCCATCTTACTTTTCAAACAGACTGCATAGTAACTTACCGACGGAAGGTCTCTTGAGACCTTTGAACTTACCTAACGAAAGGGGACAGTTTGCCCAGATTTGTAACTCCAAAAAGAATTTAGAAAAACAATCAACATAAGATGCTGCTTTCGCTGTTCCTGCAATTCTTTCTGGCTGCTGGCTTCATGGTGATCGCGGCACCACATGGGAACGAGGATGGGTCAGCATCTGTTGCCCATAACATGCCTCCCAGGGCACCCAATGAATCCTTGCGGAATTCTCCTTTCTACAAAAAGTTTATCAGTGGTGCGTCGGCAGTAAATAAAATACCAGGTGCCTCTCTTGAAGAACCCATGAGCGAGGAAGATCTAAAAAGAAAAATGATTTGGCAGAGAACCATTGAGAGGAACCAAGACCAACCTTCTACGGTGATACCAATCGGAGTGGATGCTGTAAAAAGAGAAAGATGTGAAGCCTTACCATTTCAGCAGGTACCTTCATTTTATTATGAAATCTTTTCCTATTAGGTGGGGCGGGAAGATTGCAGGAAGAAATGCTAAAATTTCATGGCAGATGCATGGACGCGTCTGTATTAGAAACCTAGATGGTACAGATTAATCTTCCTTTTACTAGCCTGAAAAAGCAGACTTGGGCTTTGATGTCCGCTTAGCCACATGGCACTTCTTCTTTACGAGAGGGACTGCCTCCTTTATTTATTTTTAAAACCAGTAGACAAAAGTAGTTTCTAACTATTATTTTGCATGTGTGGTTCAGATCTATTTATCTGGTTTAATAAAACCTCTGGGACCACAGCCATCATCTGAGACACGCTAAACACCATAACCACTACAGTTTATTGGCTTATTGCTTTATTACAGCATATTGTATCATTACCGCTTATTGTATTATTACAGCATAGGGCAATGCAAGGAATCTTTGAGTGCAGTTGTTTTCCCAGAAGTTAGAATACCAACCAAGGATGGTGGAACAGAACTGAGAACCCAATTGGGACAGTTCCACTTCATTTGGGACAGTAAATCTCCTTGGGTCAATTAAGGCTATGAAAACGGTTTGAATCCATTCTCTTAAGTGGTTCATTTCTTTATTATTTTAATTTAGACATTAACTTTATGGCACTGTTTTTGCTGGGATACTTTCAGGGAGCTTCACAGTGCGAGTGCGTCTAATGATGCGCTCACGTTGTGCTGCTTAAAGACAGTTCAATAGGGTTCCTGAATGCAGGACATAGAGAAATTAAATCGGGATGGCAGGAAAGGACCCTGAAATTGGGACTGTCCTGACAAAAGTGGGACTATTGGGAGGCATGCAGTTTTACCATCCAAGAGAGCAATGATAGGCTGAGAGCACTGTGCAAACACTGGGTAAACCACACTGCAGTTTGACAAAAAGCAGGGGATGGTATGGCACCCACATACATGCACTGCAGTAATGTAGTTTTGACGTATACATCACACAAGTAAATTTATGTGCAAATATAAGCAATGTCCACAGAAAAAAACCCAGATAATTATTTGCGTAATTTTTTCTTGTAACTTGTAATTTACCGCAGAATGTATTGATGCAACTCACTAGTTTATATTGCAAAGACTTTTAAGAGTTAACTGGTAAATCCATCTACATTTAATGAAATCTCTGGCCTATCTCAGTAATTTTTATATTATTTTACAGTCAGGAAGTTTATTCACTAAACACAAAATAAAGGTGAATTAACTAGGAAACCGCACATTTTAACCAAAATATCCTAGTTGAAAAAGGTTTTCCAACATATCAAGTTTGATATAAAATCTTCATTTATCTGGAAAAATTCCAGAAATTCCTGGTCTAGTTCTCTTTCTGGAATGATTATATTGGGACTAAAGCTAATATTGTCTGTGAATCCTTACTTTTTTTATTTATTTCTATATTTAGTTTTCATTCTAAAACGTCTTTCTTTTCTTCCAGATCGTCTCTAGAAAACACTGCATTCCAATTAGGATCCCCAACAAATTTTGCTTCGGTCAGTGTAACTCGTTCTACGTGCCTGGTCATCCATCCAGTTCCTGCTCGTCCTGTATTCCGATTTTGTCCCGACGCATTTCAGTGGCTCTGCAATGTCGCTATGGTAGAATTTCCTGGGAGGAGGTAGAACTAGTTCAAACATGTGACTGTATGGCGCAGTCCGATAAGGCGGTGCAGTAAACAGCCTTTAAGCCGTAAAATGAACTGAAATTCTGACATGGGGCCAACGTAATGACCCCCAATCTACAGAGACTCACGTTTTTTCTCAAATTTATAAGAATTTGCACAGGGTCTTTATTTATTTTTGAATGGCAAGCCTGTGTCGGACAGAGGACTTGCTATTTAGACTGTATGTTTCCAGAGCAATATGTTCCAAATAAGATTTTTCTTTTATTTTTGACGAACCTTCCGTTAAGTGGGAGGGGAAACCTTGTTAACGGCAGAATTTCTTAATTTCTGTAACTAATTTATGTTTTGTTTTATTGTCTGACTTTACCATTTTCAGCAGTAAATTTAGGTTTTCTGAAAGGGAAGGAGACATGGATATATGTGCCCTCTGCTGCTTGTTATTGGTAATGCACTTACATTTTTGTACTGTAGTAGTTATGTACATTTTTTTAATACTTTTCTTGTACGCAAATCTATGAAAATTTAAATGTTTAATCCTTGAAAACGCAACTTTTCTCCCACCTTTAAATGTAATACTGTTCTGATTTATTTAATGCTTTAAGATACTGACAACTAGTCATATTGTGTGTGCTGATCATTTATCTCATGTAAAATATTAAATGGACACCCTAAGCAAAAAACAACTTTAACTTAATAAAGTGGTTTTGGTGTATATTTCATGCCCTTGCCGTCTCACTGCTCAATTCTCTGCCATTTAGGAGATGAATCACTAATGTGTCTGTTTATGCAACTCTAGCCACACCTCCCCTAGCTGTGACTCACACTACCAACAGGATTTTCAATTAAATCACAGCACAGTGTGTTTAATTAAGAGGTTATTTTCTTTAAACACACTGTTCAACAAGGGAGCTAAAACATTTTTTAGAACGTGTGTGGGGAGGCTGTGTGAGTCCCAGCCAAAGAAGGTGTGACAAGGGCTGAATAAATAACGTGATTAACTCCTAAATAGCAGAGAATTAAGTAGTGAGGCTGCAGGGGCATGATCTATAGAACAATACTGCATAATTAATCTAAAGTTGTTTTGGTGCTCAGAGTATACCTTTTAAAAGGCTACAGGAATGTAATATTCAATTATAATATGCAGTGGCATTTATTAATGTTATTTATCGTAGCCATTTTGTGTAATAGATATTGGGTCATTCATTCCTTTTTCCTCTTCCTTCTCAGACTGTGCAGGTTAGAGTCCCATTCCCAGCAGTCCACGCGTATCAGTCGGCTATGACTGTTTCAAAAACAGTTAGACTGACTGTCTGTAGAATACTCAGGGTACACATCAGCACAATTATCTAGGACCAAAAACTACTATATTGTAAAGCAAATGGCTATATCCGTTACAGCCCCCTTAATGTTGAATAAACTATGGAATAGAACGGATCCCATGTTAATTGATCATGACAGTTCCTCTTCAAAGAGAAAGTGCATTAATCATCACAATAAATATGATGTCAAGTTAAGGGTTACTATCTGCCCTATGTCAGGGTAGATTATTTTGGTGAGTTTAGCTGATGTTCTACCTTACACATAATGCCTGGCCAGCCAAATTGCAGTAATTGTTTACAAAGCTAGGCCTTGCTTTCTGCATGCAGTATCATAACATTACTTATTATTATTGTATGGATACGTGTTAACGGGGTTATCTGCTGTCTGCGGTATCTTAGCATTGAGATCTTGAGATTTCACACTAACCTTTCAATACTTTTTGACGATATACATTCCATATAGAACTCTGACTTCTTTTTTGTTTCTGCAATGCTTTTGTTTACAACACCAAATAAACAGATTTTTATATAACCAGTTTCTTTTTTTGATTGTTTGAGAAAATCAGTTGAGTAAAATCCTAGCAATGCAGTATTACTGGTGTGTACAATCTGACGCTACCATTCCACAAGTTATATTTAACAGTATATGAATCGTCAGTACCAGCCTCTAATTACACAACAACCGCAAGAGTAATAAGACACTCCGGGCTGCCAATTGTCCTGCTCTTGGTGGTACATTCCTTGTTTTGGGGTCCTGTCCTGCCCCTAATTTAGTTCCCTTGCGTCCCTGGGCAGCACAGCGCAAGCGCATTATTAGACACACTTGTGCTCTGCGACACACTAGAACCATGCAGACCACAGCACTCTCTGTATGGTCCTGTATTGGACAGTCCGTCAGCCAGGCGTGGTTGACACCAGAATGAAATTCCATTTCAGTGGCTGGGCATGTCCACTTAGCGGGTGGGCCTGGCCGTTATGAATGTTCCGGTGTGTGCAAACTTGAAATTCTTTATGCTACTACATGTTGTAATTTCTTAGCTCAACTGCACCATTCACTTTAAAATTATTCTTGTTAAAATGGCGGTAGCACAATTACACAATCAGTGTGCGTGGCCTCCAGCACTAGACCTGAACCTGTTACTGTGTCTATCGTTCTCCATCTCACCAGGAATGTCCACAATCTACTGAAGCATCGTGTTCACCCACATAGACCAGGATTTCCCAGTCAGAGAACCAGGAGACTGAGATTGCATTTTAACCAGTAAAACAAGCAAAGGATTAACTCTTTCAGTCCTGCCAGCCCAGATACAATGCACCTTTATAAAATGCACTCTTGCCACATGACATTAACGCTCTCAGGTTCACCACTGTCTTAGTTCTTGACAGACAATTTAGATTTCAGTAAGGATTAACCCTCAACGTCTTAATCTCCAGTTCCTGTTTCACAGAGTCCAAATGGGTTAACCCTTCACATTACTCCTAACAATGCTACATTAAACCTTCACAAGTCTTATCTGTCATTTGTCTAACTCGTTTGGAGCTAGAGGGTAATCTTTCATCCCACAGGCATAGTATTTACAGCACTCGGAAACCCCAGCATCTTTAGGGCACAGTATTGGGGGAGCTAATTTCAAAAACTCTCAGACAGATAAAGTCTCAGTTGATTGCAAGTGTCCCATAAATGTATATTGGTAGTGACTTTACCCCCTACTACTTAAGCTTACGCCTCCTTTAAGCAAAAGTATTACCTGAGCTGCAACACAAAAAAATGTAATATTACAAAGCTGTGCATTAATGGACACAGTGACATATTTAAACATATGAAAAGCACACAACTGGGTACCAAATTTATAACTAGTGCCCGGGGACTGTGAAGGGAAGACTCCAGTTATTACAGATCCATCCATTGATATGGTAGTGGAAATGTTGTGATTAGTCTTTATGGACAACTCCCCCTTTTTTTGGTCAAACTGATTGAGAGATTTGACAAAAATTAGAGCTGCCCCAGAATATAAAGCCTAGCCCTCCCCTGCAGCTCCAAAAAGAGCAACCTTGAATGACAATAATATGCTGAGAATGTAGTTAGTATTTAATATGTGTGTGTATGTTTGAGTATAGCTAGGTACCAAAAAGATTCTGGTGAGACCAAACACAACTGAACTCCCCACAGTGCAAACTGTTTTGCATCGCCTGCATATCTCCAGCTGGACATTGGGAAGTCCTTCTTGGGCATAGAAACCCAAGAAATACTGTTTACACAACTATCCCAGAGTTCCCAGCTTGCATGCAAATGAATTTTGGGATAGTTGTGAAAACATGATTTCTTGTGTTCAAGAAAGACTTGCAAGAGATGCACAACAGTAATTGGGGACCAAGGACTGAACCTTGGGGGACACCAACAGAGAGGAGTTTGGGAGAAGAAGCAGAGCCAGAGAAAGAAACACTGAAAGAGAGCTGGGAGAGGTAGGAGGAGCACCAGAATAGAGCAATATCTCGTAGACCGATATTGCGGAGGATGAGAAGAAGCTGTTGATGATCAACAGTGTCAAAAGCCACAGAAAGGTCAAGGCGAATTAGTATAGATTAGTGACCATGAGATTTTGCAGCGAGTAGATCATTGGATAGTTTGGTCAGTGCCGATTCCACAGAGTGCTTAGCACGGAAACTATACTCAAGTGGGTCTAGCAGAGAGTTGGACTCGAGGAAGTCTGTCAATCTCGCATACACAACTCTTTCAAGGATCTTGGACGCAAAAGGCGATAGCGAGATAGGACGGTAGCTGGACAGGGAGTTATGGTCAGGGTTGGGCTTCATTAGAATTGGGGTTACAGTTTCATGTTTGAAGGGCGATCGAAATATGCCAGATGACAGAGAGAGATATTGAGAATTTTAGTGAGAGGTAGAGAACGAGAAGAAGACAGAGTACGGATGAGATGGAGCGGGCATTCCAAAGTGCACACTGAATGTTTGCCCTACCCCTCCTGCACCCACGACAGCCCCTCACCCTTCTGCACCCACTAAAGCCCCTACCCCCAGGCACCCTGTAGATCCCCTATATCCTGTGCACCAACTATAGCCATTATCCCTAGGCACTCTCTAGAGCCCTTATACTCCCTGCCCCTAGCCAAAAGTAGGGAGGCTGGGTGGATTTACATTTAAAAAAAAAAATTTGTGAGTGTTGGGGGAAAATGTGTGTGTGCGTTTGTCAGTGAGTGAGTGAGTGTGTGTGACTGTCAATGAGTGAGTGTGTGTGTGTTACTGTCAGTGAGTGTGTGTGTCTGTCAGTGTGTGTCTGTCAGTGAATGTGTGTTTATATCTGTCAGTGTGACTGTCAGTGAATGTGTGTGTCTGTCATTGTGTAAGTGAGTGAGTGTGTCTGTCTGTCTGAGTTTGTGTCTGTCTGTCAGTGAGTTTGTGTCTGTCCGTCTGTCTGTCAGTGAATGTGTGTATATCTGTCAGTGTGTCTGTCAGTGCGTGTGTTTGTGTCTGTCAGTGAATGTGTGTGTGTGTTTGTCAGTGAATGTGTGTGTGTATGTCTGTCAGTGTGTGTCTGGGAGTGAGTGTGTGTGTCTTTCAGTTAATGTGTGTGTATTTGTCAGTGTATGTGGGTATCTGAGTAATTGTTCGTGTTTGTCAGTGAGTGTGTGTGTCCGTGAGTGCGTGTTTGCATCTGTCAGTGTGTTTGTGCATCTGTCAGTGTGTGTCTGTCAGATTGTGTCAAATCAGAGAGTG